GCACGGTACATTGTTTTATGCACGGTATACTGCTTTACGCACGGTTTACCGCTTTACGCACGGTATAATGCTATATGCACGGTTTATTGCTTTACGCACGGTACACTACTTTACGCACGGTACACTCCTTTACGCACGGTACACTGCTTTACGCACAGTACACTGCTTTACGCACGATATACTGCTTTACGCACGGTTTACTACTTTACGCACGGTTTACTGCTTTACGCACTGTTTCCTGCTTTACGCATGGTTTACTACTTTACGCACAGTACACTGCTTTACGCACGGTTTACTACTTTACGCACGGTTTACTACTTTACGCACGGTTTACTGCTTTACGCACGGTTTACTACTTTACGTACGATTTACTGCTTTACGCACGGTTTTCTGCAGGGTTTCCACACATAACAGCATCCTATAGGCCAGCAATATTGAATACAGATGGGGGGCAGCTAAAATAAATACAGTTAAATTTAGTTTTTTGTTGTAATAGATAATAATTAATAGATAAGAATAGATAAATAATTAGATTAAAGATTTGTAAATAAACTTTTTGTATATTTCATGACAAAATACAATGTAATTAATAGAGAAATCTGTTTCTTGCCCCCCATCTGAGCGTATGACATCATCAGATTCTAGGGTAACCAGATGTCCGTATTTAACCAGGACAGTCCCAGTTTTAAGTCCTGTGTCTCCTGTCCCAGCAGATTTATTTAAAACCAGTGATTTGCCCCAATTTTATACAAGAAATGTCCCACATGTCCCTGTTTTTGACCAGTTAAATCAAAATCAGGACTAAACTAAGACTAAACCAGGACAACATCAGGTCTAAACCAGGACTAAAACTCCCTATTTTTGCCTAATCTGGTCCCTGCCAACAATAAAGTGGAGCATAAAATGTCATTTGTGTAGCCAAAATACAGAAAATGACCTTAAGAAAAAGCGACAGAAGTCCCTCAAATTATGAGTGACATGCACAGACTGTATAAAAAATATATAAAAATGTATATATACAGTCTATGCTTACATGAGAATGCACAATGTTGCACGCTCTTTTCACAATTGTATTTATGCCAACCATCCCAACACCGGTGTGTCCCAGTTGAGAATTTTGAAAATCTTGTCACCCTATCTCATGGGCCTGTGTGTGTGTGTATGTGTGCATGCGTGTGTGTTTGTGTGTGTGTGTGTGTGTGTGTGTGTGTGTGTGTGTGTGTGTGTGTGTGTGTGTGTATGTGTGCATGCGTGTGTGTTTGTGTGTGTGTGTGCTGCAGGACTTTGTTACAGTGTAGTAGTGTAACTTCTACGCTGCATAGTTTATTTTCATCATTTTCAAAGAGGAAAAAAAAGTGATATTTCCCCCTACAAATGTACTCTGGTGACCAGACGTCCCTATTTCCCTGGGACAGTCCCAGTTTTGAGCCCTGTGTCCCCTGTCCCAACAAATTTATCCAAAACCATTGATTTGTCCTAGTTTTATACAAAAAATGTCCCAGGTGTCCCTATTTTTGACCAATGTGACACCTGCCAACAGTTTAGAGAGGCATACATTGTCACTTGTTTAGGTAAAATACAGAAAAGCTGCTTAAAAATGACTAAAACACAAAGAAAATGTGATTATACTGACTCGCATGTCATGAATGGGCCAAGTGCAGAACAATTTTCCTTAATTACGCACTTGTTTCACAATTTTATTATTACTAACCACCCCAAACCGAGACAGTCCCAGTTTTTGATTTTGAAATTCTGGTCACTCTAACCTCATATCGTCTAACCTCATCTCCATTCATTTGATCTATCATTTTGCATTGGCTACAACCTAATCATGCATATGCCAGAACCAATTGGTCCTTAGACTTTTCACATATAGGGTAATTTACAGTCTATAAAAGAAAAGATTTGGCCTTCCATCAGTACCATAAGATCTAAACTACGAGAAAGACTACAAGTTAAAACTAATGAAAGACTAACTGGACTATAGGCTTTTCTTGTTATAGCCTAATTATTTTGATCAAGGGCTGGGTTCAGATTACAACAAAAAGTGGAATAAAATGACTGACAATGTGTGTAAGTCCTTATTGTCCCATTATTGAAAAGACTTTGCTTTAGGCTATAGGTCCATCTCTTAACATTTTTTTAACTTTTACCTGTGTGCACTCTCTTTGCAGGGATCTTTGGCCAACGTCTGGAGGACACAGTGCAGTATGAGAAGAAGTTCGGGCCCCGGCTCGCTCCTCTTCTGGTGGAGCAGTGTGTGGACTTCATCAGGGAGAGGGGTCTGGATGAGGAGGGGCTGTTCAGGATGCCAGGACAGGCCAATCTGGTCAAAGATCTGCAGGAAGCCTTCGACTGCGGAGACAAGCCACTGTTTGACTGGTAATTAGTGTTATCATGATACTAACATTTCAACAAAATTTTATCTATAGGCCTATTCAATACTCATTTCAAATACCACAATATTAATAAACATATTCTTTTTTTAGTTTTTTTTTTTTTTTAGATTGTGTCTTTTTATGTATGTTATAATGTTGTTTCCTCATCACAAACATAGATCTACATCTCTATCATTTACCTCTACCTCTAAATGACATCACAAGGGTTTGTTTTGATGCAGACAGCCTAATAAATCAGGATTACTGAATGAAACAAAATACCTTTTTTTAGGAGGAGGTAACATCATTATAACATGACTGAAGCTCAAATTAATCAGTCTTGCATAAAATAGCACCTTTAATTAATGTTACAATGTGGTGTTATGCAAGTTCTGATGGACCATTCTAAAACTACACAGGAAAGGTCCATTTTTATATCTGTGTACTATTTTCATACTTGCTAGAATGAGCATCTCATTTTGATATATGTTTTAGTATCAATTCATTTTCAAACTTTTCAACATAATACATTCATTCAAACGGAGCTGTAATGTGCGCCTGTGTGTTGTGTGTGTGTTTATGCAATATAGTTTCCATGGTAATAATCCTCCAAGAGAAAATAGCACCTCAAAATGCACAGTCTCACTTACAGGGGAATATGTGAGCGTGACACATTTTAGCAGGTGAACAGCTGCAGAGACAAATATTTACAATATAATACATAAGAAAACTATTTCACATGTACCCACAGAACACATTTGACATTGTGAAAACAGCATTAGTACATGCCATAAAATAAACCAATGTATGGGCTATGTATGTACAAAAACAAGTGCACAAAAGTAATAAATATCTGAAAGGCACACTATGCATCCTTTCTGGCGGAAGGTTCGCGATCTGCTTGTTTCCATGGAGATGTTATTGCTTTGTCCAGGATATTCCTCAATTTGGCATTTAACTGTCTAGCATATATGAAATTTCAGGTGTTCAAAAATAGATTGTGAAACATGCATTTTTACTGTGAGCCCTGGATTATTATTATTATTATTATTATTATTATTATTATTATTATTATTATTATTATTATTATTATTATTATTATTTATTATTATTATTATTATTATTATCAGTTGTTGTAGTAGTAGTAGTAATGGTAGTAATAGTAATATTAGTACTATTATTATGTTGTGTTCTCATCTGAAACTCAGCAATAAAGTCTCACTTCCACATATAACCCTGAACCAGTCTTCTTACTAACGCATTGCCCTCATTGTCTTGCAGTAACACAGATGTCCACACGGTGGCGTCCTTGCTAAAGCTGTATCTCCGTGAGCTGCCAGAACCGGTCATTCCATTCTCCAAATATGAAGACTTCCTCACGTGTGCACAGCTGTTGGCCAAAGATGAGGAGGAGGTACGAAGAATGCACTGGAAACTATTTCACTGAGCTATAAGCATATGGATTTGGTATTGTAATAATGTTAAAGACCGTTTTCTGTATTTAGGGTGTCCAGGAGCTCGGGAAACAAGTCAGTAATCTACCTCTACCCAACTTTAATCTGCTCAAGTACATATGCAAGTGAGTGCAGTAATAATACAGATACATAACTCTTCTATCATGCAGTTTAGACATGGTTTTCTTTTCGTAGGTTCCTTGATGAGGTGCAGTCCCACTGTAACGAGAACAAGATGAGTGTCCAGAACCTCGCCACAGTATTTGGACCAAACATCCTTCGACCCAAGATGGAGGACCCGGTCACCATCATGGAAGGTAAAGTATGGGTAAATAGAACGAGTGAAAGGAGCAGGTATAAACAAACAGTCAGCAGTGAAAACTATCTTCATCTCTTATTGAGGAATACTTATGCTAAAATCTCATTTACATATTATTACATTTCTTCCATTGATTTGCACTTTTACTTTTATACAATATAAAAAAACACTGTTAAATGATACATAAAAAAATAATAATAATACAGATTTAAGATTTAAAATTAAGATGTGTTTAAGCTGGGATAGGCTTGTGATTTCAGTTACAGTTATGGTCATTGTTCTAATCAATAATCGGTTCATGCACACATAAATGCTTCCTTGAGTGGAAAGGTAGATTGTGGATTGTACCTTTCTACTTGTAGAAAGGTACAAGTAGAAAGTCTATTTCTGTGAGAAACATCACCTTTAAAGTGATAGTATGAAACTTTCTGGAGGTGGCATGTCACCTTTATCAGTCCATGAAAATAAAAAGTTACAACCATACACATATTCTCCATGGAAATAGGTGCAATTTATTCCATACTGTGGAATATAGTAGTTAAAGGAACAATATTTCCATGGAAACAAGCAGGAGGAGGCCGTCCTCCAGGCCAAATAAAGAATCAGGTTTGTGGAGATGTCACAATGTCTCACTTTAAATTGGCATGCTTTTCTATGTGCAAAAACACATTCTCAGTGAAAAACATGCAAGAAAATTTTTATTTCATTGTTTTATTTGCTTCATTTTAGGCACGCTTATGCCCTACTTTCTTTTAAAGCAAATGTTAATTGTTTAAATAATCATGATTTCAAATATGATTTGAATAATCAAGATTATTATTTTTTCCATAATGGAGTAGCCCTAAACTGTAGTATATTTATTTCAAACTCTCGAAGGAGGAAGTATTTTAACTGTGGCCCTTGGTTCTAACTTGTTCTTAGCTCACAAACCCTTTCACACGTCTCTAGTTTTCACATGAATCACTTTTTTCATGCACAGCCATCCCACTCTCATCTGAAAACATGATGCCAACATATGAGTCTCTTTCCTATGAGTTTGAAAATGTAGTGTGGGGTTAGTGGAGTGAAAGTGGATGCAGACAGCCCACACAGTCTAACCTGTCAAGTGCTACTTTTACAATATTCTCTTTTTTGCTAAAAACTTTTTTCCTCTCTCCAGGCACATCTCTGGTCCAGCACCTGATGACCGTCCTGATCCGGGAGCACAAGCGCCTGTACTCAGGGAGAGATCAGGAGTCCCTCACCGTTCCCCCGACCACCACAGACCTCCCCCCTCACCAGCTCCACCATCGCAGCTTAGGAGCCTGGATATCCGAAGAGGACCTCCACAACTGCCCCGTGTCCAACCTGCCCGACCAGGACTGCCAGAGCGACGCCTCCTCTCTGGACGCCAAGCTATGCGCCGCCGTAACCCCCGTACAGACCCCCAACCCGGGCCCCAAAGTCAGTAAGGGGGAGACGGTGATCAGTCCAAGCAAGCAAGCCAAAACCATGCCATCTTGGAAGTATTCGTTCAAAAGTTCTTCAGCTCCTCGCGCGCAACCTCAGCCTAAATCAGGATCTGTGGCGGATGCTAGCAGCGTATCTTCTGGAGGAGGAGGTGGAGGTAGCAGTGGGAACTGGCTCATGAACGGACTGTCTTCTCTGAGAGGTCACCGGAGAACTTCTTCTGGAGAACGTTCAACGCGTGATCGGGATTCTACGGGTTCTTCGCAAAGACTCTCCACTTACGATAACGTCACGTCCTCTTCGAGTATGGGCAGCGTTCCGAGCGTCGCGAGCACACCCTGGTCTACCTCATCGTGTGAAATTTCCATGCCGGATTCAGGAAGCAGCGATCCGTCGGGAGGAGTGAGCGTCGGAATCGTGAGCGGGAACGGAGAGAAAGGGGACTGGATGGACAGTCAAAGGGACCCGAGCTCGGAGCCAGACAGCTGCGAGGCCATGGAGTTGTGCAGCAGCAGCGCCCCCTGCAGTGAGAATGGGAACATGGCGGGGGCGGTTCCGGTGCCGTCCATAATCATGTCCGAAGAGGGGGAGGAGGTGAACGGGACACTCGGCAGTCTGGTGGAGGGGCTCAAGGAGGAGCTGAGGAAACAGAGGGCCAGCTATGAGGCACGCATCCAGAAGTAAGTCATGTTACACTCACTTGAATGGCTGTGTAATGTGGGCTGGGCAAGAAGTAAATGAAATAAAATACTGATAGTGCTATTAATATATAGGCAGTACATCAGTAATAGTAGTCGTGATACTTCTTTATCATATTGCCAACACTCGTATAATCAAATATGCACTTACAGTATGTCCTTCTCTCTGATGTAACAATATGAAGCTAATTTACTTCATTTACTCATTTTTGGGATTGTTAAGCAATACATTTGAAACACTGACATTCAATGTTTACTATTTAATGACTGAATAATATAAACTGAGAACCTTCATACTACAAGGTAAATCCATAATCTATTGTTAATATATGTCAGTGTGATGACTTTTACATTGTTTACATGAGTCAATAGTCAACAAGCAGTGAATTACCACTTTCAAAAGTATTGAGTCTGTGGTGCCTAATACATTTATTTTGAAACATTTTATTGGGACATGATATCAGTAATGTAGTGGCCATTGCCATACCATCTTGTCAGTGATGATCTGGTTTAATTTAAGAAGCTAAGCAGAGTTGGCCCTGGTTAATATGTGGATGGGAGACCACTGGGAATACCAGGTGTCATAGTAGAGCAGCAATGGCTCCAGTGAAAACTGTTGTGTTGTTGTTTGCTTCTTTCAGTCAGGGCAGTTGTGGCTGTTATAGTAACTTACCACCACAGAGAGTGGAGTGAATCAACAATGCACAAAAATGTAAAGACACTTTGACCTGGAAAAGTGTTAAAGGTTGTGTAGAGGATTTTCCAAGGAACGAGAAATACAGCGACTGTTTGTCCTTTTTCAAATGTTGCGCATGCGTGAAACCACCCCCCCTCCCCCACAGCTCCCTACGTAGAAACGCCTCCTCCCACCTCCTCCTTACGCCAGAAACAGGTTTGTTTACAGCCGGTGCTCTGCACATGACTTGTAAACAACTAACTACAGTGTTGGTTAGGCAAGGTGGAGAAGTGAGGAGCGGGGGGAGGGGGTGTGCGGACGAGAAGTGAGGAGCAGGGAGAAGAGCGGAGCAGGGAGCAGGGAGAGGAGAGAGGAGAGGGGAGCGGTGCGTGGAGATTCTGTGCCCGGAGAAGTGAGGAGCAGGGGGAAGAGCGGAACGGGCAGCGGGGAGAGGAGCAGGAAAGGGGTGCAGAGAAGGTTGCGCGGAGATTCAGTGCGAATGAACTAGCTACAACACGCAGCAGCAAGCGGACTCTTTCTTTGCCTTGAAAATTACGTTTTCAGACATAGGATATCGCTTTCGTGTCCTGAAAAACGTTTGACTAGCTCTTGGAAATAAAGTACGTTTTCATAATAAGCAGAAGTGACCTGTCCAGGAGTAATTTGGCGACCAGTGCGTCAGTCTTTAGACCCTGCGTCTGCTTCAGTTGCGCCATCGCTGGAATGAATCTTCAAGAATCACCTTAGTTTGGCTTCGCTGCTTTTCCCCTTGTCTTCTTCTTTCAGCAATCTCAAAAACAGACTTTCTTTTGCGGCGAACTGCTCCTGGATTCTTGTCTGCCATTGCAACAAACTTTGTGCTAACTGCGAGGAAGATATAGGTCAAAAAAAGCCGCTAAGAACTGTTGCGTTGGTGGAGTAAACAGCGTCTGTGCGGCTTGCGTCTGTGGACTGCGTGGCAGGCGTACGTAAACCACGTACCGGCGGCGCGCAGGCAAGTCAGTTACGCTAGAAACATAGGGAGCTTGATTGACAGCCTGTCAGCTAACAGATAACGAGGCAGTGTCGTTATCTATTGGCAAATGTTTAGCCCCACCACGTCCAGAGTTGATGAATTTTTATTCTCTTTTTTTTGGTCATCATAATTACAAGGCTACTGCACCTCTATAATGCTATCATTGACAACTTGAAACAAAAAAAAATCCTCTATACAACCTTTAAGTAAAACTAATGCATTATTATTCTTAATAAAATTCCAGGTATTGTCCAAACCTTTGATAAGGCAACAGTTTTACCCCGGGCATAAACTGTCCATTGGGGTATATTCAGAGTATTTCATAATTGCTAATTGCATGTCCTCTTCTCTTTGTCTTGCCTGTGTCAGGTTGGAGGAGTCCAGTGCAGCTCTTTGTTCCCAAATGGAGCGTTTGGAGCAGGAGATGGAACAAGAGCGTAAGAAGCAGCGTATGCTGGAGATCAAACTGAGGAACTCAGAGCGCGCACGAGAGGACGCCGAGAACCGCAACCGCCTCCTGGAGAAGGAGATGGAGGACTTCTTCTCCACACTGGGAGACCTGGCCCTGGGTGCGAGGACTAGTGACATTTAACCACAGCCCTGGAGGGTTACAACAGGGCGGATATTCCATTTGAGAATCAGGGCATTCCTTCATAAAGACACTATGGACATGTTTCCCATGGTGCAGTGCTTCAGTTAACAGCACTAAATAAAGACATGTCTTATTCATTGGATTAGCAGCATTTATCCCCAGGTTTGTTTAGTCAAATCTGTCTGAACCTTTTACAACCACTTGCAATGATGTGAATACACTGTGTGAATAGTTGTGTTGTGTTGGATGCAAGTGAATGGCATTTAGTATTTCTCTTGGCTCATCCTAACACTTTTAGGGGTTAAATATGTGGTACATAAGAAGCAATGCTCAGCTAGGTATGTGTGTCAGATAAAATTACAATATTAAACAAAAGTCTAATTATACATTATAAACAAAGCAACATTGTGTTATTGTACATATCTTAATATGATACAGGGCTCCAATTGGGAATTAAACTACTGTCAGTAATATGCAAGAACAATGAGAAACAAGTGTCTAGGAACAAAGCATTTGGAATTTTATTTGACTTTTGTACAGCATCAAAGAACCACTTACAACCATACTTAATAGATCTGGTACTGTTCTTTTTCACTTACCAAAACACAACAAAGTATTATGTATCTTGTCATAGCATCCATAAGATTTAACTGTGTTTTGTTGTATAAGTATTGATTATACCTTAACCCCCTTAACTCATATTTGGAGCTTCAACTTTCTATATGCAATATCTGAGGACTTTTCCCATTTAGTAGCTATAGTTTGTTCCACATTGTTAAAGGAACTGTATGTAAAATTTAGATTTTAAATGTCATAAACATGACCTATCTGTGTTTCCAGGTAAGAGTTGTTCAAACAAAATTTAAGTTTTACTGAATAATTCTAATGCTGATTTATTCTTGATTACAAAAACATTGTAATTAGCAAGCAGAATGAGCCTCACATGAGTCTCTCATTTGGGTTGCCAGTTTCAAAGCAGAATTCCAGCTGGTTTAAATCTAAAATGCCACTCTCTGATCTGAATGGTCAGTACCTTAACCCCAGCACCTGCAGTCAGTCATGAGTCAGTGCTAGTGCAGCCTCTGCAGCTCAGTGAGAGAGTTCTGGAGGTTCTGAGATTTCACATGAGGCAGGTCCATATACTGAAAATGAGAAACACTTGTATGTGTCCTCTATCTGCAGGTTTAGGTACTTTCAAACCAGGTTCAGCTGTGACTGTAGTATCTTTATAAAGCATTAAAAGTGCAGGCTACATACTGTTCCTTTAGCTCCCATGCAAAGGTCCACATTTTACATCGTTCTAAAACTCACAGAGAGCAATTTTTTTCAACAGTTCACCTGTAAAATGTGCTTGTATGTTATTCTGTAACATTATAATTGTACAGTATTCATCCAGTCCTTATTTCACCTCAAGCATTTAATAAGATCACGTCTCGGGCTTGTAGTGCCTCTTTCAACACTGTCCACGACTTCCTGCTCCCTCATGTCCATAACTTTGATGTAAAACCACTTGTCAGAGGACTCACAGTCACTTTCTATACCAAAGCAGGACCGCCTCAGCTGTTCTCTCTCACTAAGCCTGGACGCCATGTTGACTTTGGCACACCACTGCTGACCACTGCCCTCAAAAACAATGGAGTTTCCTGGTCGTGCCTTTCTGGGAAGTGTTTTTACATAGGAAAAAGTAGTGTTGCTAATCTGCCGCTAACTTAAGCCAAGTAAAGTGTGTATTTGTCCAAGAATTGGGACTGGGGCTGCATTGTTTTCAATTTTTAATATGAAGAAGTAAGAACTGTGGCATGACCGGTGGCAAACTTTGAGAATTGTGAAACTGAATGGAAGTTTTGAAACTGGAATGTATTATTGAAGTGAATGTAATGTGTTGGTGAAACTAGTCCTACAAAAAGAAAATGTTTTTTACTGCACTGCTCAGGTTTGCTCCAGCAGTCATGATGGATTGGGGATTTTTCACTTGAAAGATTTTTGAGCAACTGTTCAACTATTCTTTAAAGGTGCACTGTGTAACGTTTCTGATAAGGGATGTACCACCTGGATGTGTATATAGACATAGGGCTTTGTCTGGAATATGTCAGAGTGTAGCAGGTATTTTTATGGCTTAAAGAAGGGGTCTCCAACCTGTAGATCTCCATCCCCTTCAAAGTATCTCGCCATGGGATTTCTGAATTATACATATTGCGCTGAATAACTCAAATTTGATTGATTAAATGCCTATTTTCTTTGTAAACATATAATTTTGATGCCTAATTTTGTGCACTGATAACTAGACAATGGGTTATATTTTATAGACATCCAACTGTACCTCATTTTCAGCTCACCATTTCTGGCGACCGCTAAAATTAGTCGCTCTCTGGCATTTTTGTTTTACATAACGTAGCTCACAGGAAAAAAAAGGTTGGAGACCCCTGGCTGAAAGCAATGGGCCACCTCTCATGTGACTTGAATGTGCCAGACTGTGGAACATTCCAGACAAAGCAAAGCAACATCTTCACGGAGGCAAGCAGGAGGCACACCTTCCTCTACAAATAGTTACACAAAAGCTCTTTAATATATCTCATATTTGGCCTTGCATGTCATAATGAGGTTTATATTGCTGATCTAGAAACGTTTAAGCTAAAAATTGTTTTTTGATGGCATTTTATACTCAAAAAATATTTTACTGATGCAAACTGGCACATAGATTTCTGTTTCCAAGCTCCCACATACAAATAGACTCAAGTGTATTCATAGATCCATATTATAGCTGCCTACATTTTGAAGCAAATTTCTAGATTTTAGGATTTTATGTTTCCAGCTTATACATAGACCACTGTTTACTTGTTAGTCCTACTTAGTACCCTTATAAGTGACTCTGAACTGCTGAACTTTCACAGAAAACACAAAAAGCCATTTTATAATATTTGTATGTAGTCACTCTGCAGCCACACCTTCCTCTCGGGACTAACACTGAACTAATGTGTCTTACTGCATTGCTGATCTGTGGTGCTTATTTATTATTTATTACACTGTACTGAACGGACATGTATGAGAATAAAAGTGATGATGGTCTATTTGTTTTTTGTTTGTTTTTTTTAAAGAATGACCATGACAACCATTACAAGTGTATTCCATTTATTTGCAGTTTTACATGTACTTATTTTTTTTCTCCAAGAGGTGGCATCTTCAGATCCCAGTGCATGGATTCTAGTAGTGCACTTGTTTGTGGGTCGCGGTTTTCATCAACGCGCCGATCCAGGAATTCTTAAAACTAACTTGCATGGCTGGATTCACTAGCAAACATTACAAACCAGCACCGTACATATAGTGATTTCATGTATTTACGCATCTTTTCTTATTTATTAACATTATTATAGCCTACCCAGTCGTAAAGGTTGGCGCTGGGAAGTATCGTCGAGCGGATCAGTTGTGATTGGCTGTTTTGAAAAAAAGAGGAGGGTATCACAGGTTTAACAGGAAATCAGTCAGTTATTGTTTTAAAAAGTTTTCATATTACTTTAGCAAACTTCAAAAGGCACTGTACCTGACTTTTACAGCACGGGTTTTCACATTTTTAACATACAGTGGTCCCTCGTTTATCGCGGGGGTTAAGTTCTAAAAATAACCTGCGACAGGTGAAATCTGCCAAGTAGTCACCCTTATATTTTACAATTATTTTATCTGTTAAGGCTATAAAAACATCTCACCACGCACTTTATACACTTTTCTCAGACAGGACATCCTTCTTAAAACTTATTGCTGCTGTCGTCCTTTTGTCATTTTGTAACAAACCGAAGATTCACTTATTCCGTAATGGAGCCCTATAGCGCAGAGTCCTGTACGGGTCAGTTTTTGGAGACCCGCACCCGTGCAGTACAGCACCGCACGTGCCCGTTAATCTGAGATTATATCAAACTTTTGCGCTGCGCCACAGACTGAACCAAAAATAAACCAGGACTCACCCAGGACTAACCTAGGACTGATTCCAGGACTGAAGAGGAGGACTAAACCAGGACTGAAATAGGATTAAAACAGGACTGAACCAGAACTCACTGTCGGGACAGGCTCGGAGGTGACCATAGAAAGAATCGGCTCAGAGCTCCACACCTCACGGAGCTAATCGCGGCAAATGCCCAATCGCGCTTTGCGGACACACTGCTCAGGGTTCTCTCTCTTAAGTCCAAGATTAGTCCTGGTTTAGACCTGGTGCTGTCCTGGTGCAGTCCTGGTTTAGTCCTGGTTCGCCAGTGTGTAATCACTAACCGCCCGCATACCCGCCCGTAATCAGGACGCAGGGGGAGGAACGCAATGCACCTTCATATGCTGTAAAAAAAAAAAAAAAAAAGGCATGCAAAACAGCATTAAAAAAAGAAAAATCAGCGAAACAGCAAAACGTGACCTGCGATATAGCGAGGGACGACTGTATTTGCAGTGGTCCAAAGTTATTCCAAATTATTCACCACGATGAGTTTATGAGCTCTTTTCTCAACTTTCAGAAACCAGCTAGCATGACAACAGTACAATTCCTTAAGAACAGCTTTTACAGTACATCTAATGGGACAAAATAAATTTTGTACTTTTACACACACAAAAAAAAAAATTAGGTACAGCTCCTTAATACGTTAATGCTTGAAGGAATGGAGTCAGTCAGCTTTTTAGCCAATCACAGCCAAGTGTCCCTCCGGTCGATACATTCTAGCGCCATCCAGGTAATCTATTGGCTAGAACTCTGCACAACCGTTTTGAGCCTAGCCAGTAGATTTCTAAAGCTGGTAAGACTGAATACATATTGATTATTATTGACAAGTCTTAGAGATAAAATCAGATCTTATTCTTAAAAAAAGGAAAACATGGATTGACAGTACCAAACATTTTACCTTCAGGATACACCTAACAGGCTAGGCCCATGACACAACTAGCACAGTTTTCTGAAGGTATTGCACATTTAGTTAAAAAGTCAAAAGTAAAAACCAAAAAAGAAAAAAAAAAAAATACATAGAACAATTCTCTCTTACTGAAGCATACATAACGTACAAAACTAGAAGTCTGTTGAAACAAATAGTACACTTTCAAATAAATAAATAATGGAATCTGTTATTCACACATCTTGTTTGTTTTTCCGTGAAGCTAATTGCTAACCGCTAAAGCTAATTCTGCACGCGGAGGTGGTATTTTTTTTTGGTTTTTTTTTTTTAGAAGCGCGAGGTAGTTCATCAAAGTCGACTCAACTCCCTGTCACGTGGTTCGGAGACGCGGTCAATGCGAAACGAATGAGATACAGCCAACTCCAATTACAATGGGAACAACTTAAGAGCACTTCAGACGACAAAGTGGATTATGCGATCGACTTTAGCTAGCAAAGCCTAATTTACAGTACTATACCGCTGAACTATGGCCCTGTTTAGATCTGTGCAGTCTTTAAACACGCACTGTGTAACTTTTCCAGTGAAGGGTCTGCTTGTCGTCATGGTTACTCATTTGCCTGGAATGTTCAACGGCATGGCGTCGTCAATGCTTAACAAATACCTTGAAAACTAGATTACAGTGAGCGGGGTGGCCTCTGCATAGACCTGATCTGTAATTTGGCCTGTTGGCGTCACCCGCTTGTCTTCACGGAGGTAGCTAAGTTTAATGCCATACTGTGGAACCTTCTAGGCAGTCTCCACGGAAATAAGCTGGTAGTAAACCCATCGGTAAAGAAAAGTTACATAGCTAAAGTAAATATTGTGTGCAATTTTTAACAATTCCAAAACCACTTTTTAAACTAATGAGAATTAGATGTCAGAGTAGTAGCCGTTTGTTGTCATGGAAGTTTCAGATAAAAATACAGAAAATTGAAATGTAAAAAATAACAAAGGTTGCACCGTAAAAAGTTTAAAAACACAAGAACGCACAAATCAGCTGAATGATATTTACAACTAGTGAAGTGACGGTTATTTTAGCCACCCGTGCTAACTGCTAGCTTTTACTATCCATTTATAGTGTTGTATACCTTTAATATTCCTTTAGCTAACCAAGCTAGTTGCTAATGAAAATGCTAATTAGCGGATAACTAATAACTAAAGAGCAACAACAGTCTACAAGAAAAAATTGCTATTTATGCATAGGCCTAATTAAAGATTTGTGCTTTAGTGTAAAGAAAATTTACAAAAAAAAAATCAAAAATAAAAGTCTAAATTAAATAATACCAAAAATAAATGTTATATTCAGTATCAAGTAAATTATACACCCTGTTAAACATAAGGTATAATATTGCGTCATATATGGCTATGGGTACATCTGCCACTTTCTACCAGCTATGAAATCAAATATTTAACAATTTCATGTTCAAAAAAATATGAAAAAATATATGAAAAAAATAATAATAATTTACTGAAATATAACATTTATCACAAATTTAAAAAAATAAAAAATGGTGCAACCTAATAATTATAGTTGCGGTAATTCCCCTTTAAGTGATAATAATCTTTGTAAATTTACATATTTGGCAAAAAAAAGAAATTCTTTCAATGCAGCTCAAAACTACAGCAATCACTACCTTTAAGCACGTCTTAGCCTCAATATAGATAAGGAAAATATATTATCATCGGCTTAGTGGATACCTCATTAGTTATAAATAGTTGTATTATTTTGTTAGTATTTCTGTCAATAAGTCAACCAGGCCTTCTCCAAATTCCACAATACTGACTTACTACGCCGTTTTGACAATGTTCATACCTCTCAGTCACAAATACCTGTCAACTCATACTTGACACTTTGATGAACTGCCTTTGCTCTTAAAACTACTTAAAGGACCCATATTACAGCATTTTCTGATCTGTTATGTTGTTTCCTGATCACAAACATACTCTGAGTTGTGTTTTGTCTCATTCAGACACTTTTAATACACAAACCTTGCATATTTAGGCTGTGTTCTTCTCTCAAACGGAAATATGAAGTGGTAAGAATCATTTGGATAATTTCAGCTCTGGATTTTCCAATCTCTACTGAAGTTAAAGTAAAAGGAAGGTGTTGAAAACTTGAAAACTACCGCTTCATGCATCACAAGATGGAACAGAACATTTTGAGCTTTGAAGATATAGACAGAATAATAATAAATTGGTTACTCAAATATGTGTAAATGAAACAAAACACAACTCCAGGTAAGTTTTCGATGAGGTAACAACATTCTAATATGCTAAAAGCTCACAGGAGTCAATTTTGCGTAATATAGGACCTTTAAAATACGCCATCCTCCTATCCCTTTCCGACATACCCTGAAAGACAATCTTCTCCAATCATAGGGACAAATCAGAACAAGTAGAAAAATATACAATACGTTTTTCGACACAACCCGAAATGAGAACTTCCAACCAACTTAGGAATGAATTTAAAACAGGCACTTTACCATTCCGAGCAAAAATCATCACTATTATTGCATACAAGATAAAATAGTTCCAAATAGTTGTGTTACAAATTTATGCTAGGATTAAATCCCAAGCAGGATCGATTCCAAATTTCAGAATGACTAATACTGGATCTGAAAAGCAGCCATTTCGTTCGCTGCTGAATCGCCAAAACCTCTTCAGAAATCATCGCATTCACGTATTCTCAAAATCACCTACTTGAAGCACATTCTACTCAAAAGCCACCACGTTTTACAACCTCACAAAATCCATTAAATCTGACTTTTAAAAAATCGTTTCAAAATAACACATTCTAATTTCCTCTTTCTTTTACATTGCCTCGCTGTCAAACCACTCCGCCGGCATCTTTTCAGTCATTTCAGTCTCTCACCAAAACGTCACTTCGCCTGCCACAAATATATTTACTTATATATTAAAGCACTTCGACTCCACAAGACGATCATCGGCAAAACTATGCAATCCCTCTTTGTAAATATCTATTCCCTCACCACATACGCATTCAGAACTTTCATTTCGATAGATTGAATTTTAACAATGTGAAAAGTGGTTTGACAATATAAGTATGTTGTGTATATATAGTAGTATGGTGTTCAACAAATTTTGGACATGTTTCAGAAAAATGGCTGACAGGAAGATGCTTGGTCTCAGATTGAATTTTACCATGTTGTGAAGAATCAACATAAAACTGAATGTTAAGTAAAAATGACTACAAAAATGGAAATTAAGAAGAAATTAATTAAGAAATTAATTGTGTATAAATTCTACATTCATTATGAGTTAGTACTGTCACAATACTAACATTTCAAACTCAATTTTCAATAGTAAGGAAGCACCGATTCTGGTGCTACAATTACAATAAAAACAAACTGATTTAATCTTGAAAATGACAATCTATTGTCTAAATATTAGGGGTGTAAGGATATCAAAGTCTCACAATAAGATATCGTCACGGTTTGAACCTCACGGTACAATATTTATTGTGATATCGTGGGAAAGCTCACGATATGGTGGGGAGGCTCACGATTAAGGATGTAACAATATCCAAATCTCTCAGTGCGATATTTTCATGATATACATCTCACGATATTTTGTGGAGGCTAAACAAAACTTAATATGCTACTTTTTCCTCTTCAAATGCCTTGACAAGACTTAATCCAAAGAACTAAGACTTCAAAGTGCTTAGAACTGTTATTTCTTCATGTAGTCTACACTGACATGGAGCAAAGGATCATGGTCTATGTAGTTCCCTCTGGTTTTTTTTTTTTTTAAGAAATTGCTGCACCATAACTCTTAATTTAAGCAAAGAGACTTGTAATTTGATATACTGTGATGGTCCACGATATTGTTGTGATGAACTGGGAAGATACGATATCACAATATTTCGGTTATTGTTACATCCATACTACATTTTTTTATATATTACAATGCATGTAATCCCTTAGTGGTCCGAGTACGTTCTTAGTGGTCCATGGGAGTATACTAGTCTATGTGCTCTTATACTTGTTCTGATACAGCTTAAGATCATTCTAAAACTGTTCAGGAAAGGCTCATTTCTGTCCTGTGCATGTGACTTAAGTATCGATATCTGCACAAATGAGTATCTAGTATCGATACTCGTTTTAGTATTGATTAGTATCTGATTTTCTATACTTTTGACAACCCTATTATGAGGTACAGTTTTACAGTAGCAATAATGGTACGTACCATTTAAGAAATTCATGTTAAAGGAACTACTTCATGATTACAATTGGAACTGGAGCATTGGAACTGTGTTATGTAAGAAAGAAACAAGACTATCAATTCCACTAAAAACATTAATGATATGTAAAAATACGAGCTTCAGTCTGAGACCATAACTCAACATGTGTCTAATTTTCCTGACGTTCATTTTGCTGAAACCGAAAAATGTCCAAACCTGACACAGTATGCATGAATCACCAAACTTGGCGTGATATCACCAAGGGAGAACTATTCATCATTCTGTCAGTTCAGTTTCAATGGCTCTCCACACTCAATGATAAATCTACCTCTACCATAGAATCTGTACAAACATAATCTACAATTGTATGGCAAATTGTAAAAGTAGTAACAACAACAACAACAACAAAAAGATCACATAATTTTGTTTACAATTATTTCCTTAGATTCTCTTCGGTTAGTACAAACCGAAATGTGGTAAAATCATAAAAGTTCTCATCTTAGGTTCCAAAAGTATTAAAGAAACACTTATAATAACTAAACATTATAAAGCATTAATTGTTTACACATAAAATGAGAGCATATTATATAGAATTTAAAATGATTATTACCATCTCAAATATTGGGAATAATGGTCTTAAATTAGTAACTTTCCAATCTTGCTTAATGCCAAGTAGTGTGTAGTGATTATAATGTGTTTCCAAATAACAATGTCATAATAAATTACAGCTCAAAGAAAATAAGTTTAGAAAAAAAGACTAAAATTTAAAATCTCAAAACAAAAATGGAAAAGTCTCATTAGAAAAAGATTTCTTAAACAGCTATATGTCTAACGCTATTCTACTGAAGACAAGCACAGAGGAGGAGGGAGGAGGGGTTTGCTAGGGGGTGGGGCTTAGAAGGCGTAAAAGTTTTCCACCGGGGAGCGAGGTCCTGCCGGAGGACCAGGAGACGAGTCCATGATAGTCGTGTGCAGCAGCCCTGGGGCCTCTGGCTGTAGTAGCAGCAGCAGCAGGGGGCGGAGAGCTAACCCTTTTATTAGGGTCCCGCCCATCAGGGAGGGGGTCACAGGTCAGGGAGGAAGAGGGGGATCATGTACAAGGAGATGCTGGTGGCTGCGGGAGGCTGCCGCTCACTGCTGCACTTGTGCTGTGATCAGATACAGGAGAAAAGAAGTCAAGGTGCAATACATATAGTGCCAAAACAAACATGGTGGGAGAAATGAAAACAATGGCACAAATCAGTAAGCTTACACCAGAAACATCATGAGAAATACTGGCAAGTCTAACACATTTATGCTATTCAAATGTAATTGTTTTTTTGTTTTTGTATTTTTTAGCTGTTGCATGAAGGAGAAGAAATTCCAATTATCTGTTCCATTTTAGCACAAGTAGTTAATGTGCAGATAATAATAGTAATAGTAGATAGTAATAGTAGATAGTGTGGTAACACCATACTGTGACACTCCTAAAAAGAAAAGAATATCAGTGACAAATCTTACCTATGGAAGCAGGTTGTCCCCTGATGACACCATTCTTTGTCCTTTCTTCCCAGTCCAAAACTTCTTTATATATCAACTCTAAAACACACATTACATCAAGTTAAATATCAGAATATATTTCTTTCTCAGTGCACCTGTGCACTGCAGCGTTCATCGTGTAAGAAGCTGACAAGAAATGATCACACCTCAAATGTGAATCCCATTTATAGCCGTGTGAGAATGAAGTGCATTTAGAGCATTGGATACAAGAAAGAAAAGCATTTTCTGTTTTACTCTATGGTGTCCCACAGGGATCAATTATGGGTCCACTGATATTTTACTTATTTGTGTATTTATAATGCCACATTCATAATTCAGTCCCTAGCCTTGCTTTGGTTTACTTCAGTCTTTAATTTATATTTTGACAGTTTGACTAATAATGGGATTACATTTTTATATAATGCAATTACAATATTAAACAATGTTATCAGATATCACATTTCCCCTATATAAAAAAATCACATTTGTACCTTTCCACTCTTCAACCGTGTGCTCTCTCTCATCCAACTGCTTGTCTGTGATCACTGGTGGAGGCTAAAACAGGATAAATGCACTTGTTAGTATTCAAAAACTTTGAAATAGAAAGTTTCAGGTGGTCTTTTCTGTGTTGTTTATACAGAAGCATAAACCAATACCATAAAAATAAGATCTACAAAGCAAATCAACAAGCTGAACTATTCTCTGCCTTGAAAATATGATGCGGCAGTGCTGTGTCAGATCTAAAAGTGCACTTAAACTATTATGACAGCCGATACCACTTGAGGCTTAAATGACAATAGGGAAGATATCAATGTGCAGTTTTGCTAGTTTTTCCCAAACAGCCCGGAGCCATTTCTGAAGAAGCACTGGACTGTCAAAATAACTGTAAACGTGTTTTGACAATTCTGTTTTGAAGTTAAAAGGTAGTATTTCTCAAACTCAAATGTACTAGAGTAGAATGCATTTTAATAATGGTCTGAGTGTTAAACTAATTTTGTTGCAGAATAATTTGTGCTGATTAATTATCACATTATTAAAGGTCCTATGTTACACTATTTTATGATTCATGCTGTAATGTTGTTTCCTCATCAAAAACATATCCGGAAATGTGTTTTGCTTCATTCACATGATTAACACAAAAACCCATACACTTTCACTAGAATCATTTGTTTTTGAGAAGGTAATAACATTCTAAAACGGGTTAAAGCTCACAAGAATCCATTCTGTGTACCGTATTTTCCGCACCATCGGGCTCACTCATAAGTCTCCAACACCATCAAAAAAACGACTGCGCGCCCCGCAATCCAGAGCGCCCTATACACAAATCCACTCTGGTGTCCCAGCACAACTTCAGTAAACTACAAAGCCGCACCATCCGCAACGCACTCAAACACACACGGAGCAGACAGCGACCGCACAGCGAAAAACACTCGCAGCCACAATCATCACTCCACGCGGACGAGGAACGACCTGAAAAAGCGAGTGCAATGTGCCACTTCTAGACACAACTGAACAACTGAGTCACTGCGAACACACCGACAATCCAGCGGTTCCAGATAGGACCCTCCCTCAATTAAACAAAGCCGAGAGTCACCGTGAACGCGCCAAACATAGTCTGACTGACTCATCCAACTGTTGTGTTTCGTTTAAAGTTCAGTGCAGTTTATTTGTGAAAAAAGTTCGAAAATAGACCATTCGATGACTCTATAGTGAGGAAAATACGGTAATATAGAACCTTTAAATCTCTGAAATGGAAGACTGAGTTCATTATATTTTGACTGTGTTCCAGGTTCAATCTCTTATTTTTATGCATTGTGCATCTATAACAGTTTCAACACCTAATTGTAGTAGAGAAATATCCACCACTTCTAAAGAGTCAGTTAATGGGACATTTTAGTCAATATTTTTAGTAGTGGTACTTACAGCTTCTACTTCACTTGGGTCGTACCACACGTTAATGTAGGGATGTTGTAGAGCTTCATCCACTGAGATCCTTTTTGATGCATCTATTACCAGCATTTTGGATAGGAGGTCTCTGGCTTGGCTCGCTACAAATACAAAGTAGAAAGGGGTAAATGTTTAGCTTTGAAGAAATACAAACAGTGAATGCATAAACAGTACGATTATTTAGATGAGAGAAGTTAAAATCAAATAAATTGTGCCTCAGTAAAATAATCAGTCAGCAATGTTCCCCTACTGTTATGCATAATCGCTGAAAGACTTCGGTTAGTAATTTCACTATGTGTAGTTATCACAATTTTCTCTAGTTTGACAGTTTTGGAGGAGAAGTTCAGATTTCAGATTTACTTTCTGATTAAACACGAGCAGTTTTTAGCAAGCAACCTTGTCTAATTTACACAGTTAATATTTATAATAACAATAACAATATAAAAACAAAGAAAAATATGACAACATTTTGGATAGAATTTCTGTATTGACATTGGATTCCTTTTTAGAACTAATCACTACAAACTGTAACAAATATGCAGCATATGTACTATCCCCCCAACTGAAGTAATAATTAGAAAACCATGAAAACTATACAGCTTGTTTGAATGGAATGTTCCAAATTATGCACACATTTATTATTAATGCTTTTAGTTTGTTAATAGGAAAATAATAAAACATAGTTGAGTATTGTAGACAGCTGCTCTTTGGAGAGGGTTTGAAAATATTTAAGTAGTTGTGTGTAGGGTCAAATCCTAAAAATGTGTAGAAAAATAGCGTTCAAAAGTTCAAAAGCCTTTATTGTATCTTTGCTATTAAGGTTAAAAACATATGCACCAATGCATTTTGTCCAACACAGTCATCATCAGGGCCATAGACTGAATAAAGAAGTGGAAGTGAATTTATTTACGGATAAAATACCAAAATAAAAAACACCAGGATTATGTAGAGTGGGTTAATAATATAATAATAATAATAATACAATTAACATTGTAAGACCAAAATGATGAGGCTCACTGCAGCAGTTGCAGAGAGTGAGGTGACAGTTTTTCAATATAAAGACTTTTGGAGTCAATAGAGCCAAAGCGCCCCCAAGCTCACTTCCTATTTGGAACGCGGCAGCTAGCAGGTTAGCCATGTCCATTTGGCGCAAGGTTCTTTTCAAAGCAGAGTCTCTTGGGTTTTTGTTGTCTGATTTTTTATATGCATTTTTATGATTTTACCCTATAGAGAACCACTTGAACATTTTCACATTTACTTTTATAGAGGTTTTTATTGCTCAAAACATCTTGAAAACCTACTTCATGGAGTTTTAATGCCATATTGTGAAACATTCAAGATGTTTCAATAACATCTCTGAGAAAGTACTTAGCAGACCATCTACCAGAAAAGTTACATAGCGCACCTTTAAGTCTAGGCTGCTTGTCTGGGGGCAGATTCTATTTCTCAATATGATGTGGGAAACTTGGAGTGCACTATAGTGCAGACTCACTGGCAGGCACACACACACACACACACACACACACACACACAGTATGGAAGTGTGTGTAGGGAGCTGTGTGACGTCAAACCCCTATGCCTTTACATTCTTTCCATATAAGACTGTTGTACTTCCATAATGTTAAATACTTCCTTGTGGGGCAGGATGTGAGGGCAGTGTACAATAGAGGGAGGGATCTTTAGATGTGTGAGTGCATAGAACACATTAAATGAGAATAAAACACTTCAAATTCTGTATATTAAAAAGTAAACAAACATACAACTTTTAGTAACCAAATTTCTTCATCAAGCTACTGCGTTTCATTGCATTTTTCAATTATTTGCAATGAAATAAACAGTTTTGTAAAATGCAGTCTTATATCATTTATAAAACTAATGCATACAAAATGTCCATCTTGTTTTGTTGTCCCTCTTTCAACCTATTTGAGATTTGTTGCCATTTCTAATATTCATACATTTCTATGAATATTTAGACTTGCTAAAAGTATTTTGGGTTGCGTTTTGTTTAAACCCTTATTATTAGTCTGTCTATCCCCAAACCTTAAAATAATCTGTTCCACTTTGTGATGTCATGATGCTGTAGTTTTCAAGTGAACAGCTACATTTTGCCTTTAGTTCAGCAGAGATGGACAATTCCAAGCCTGAAATTGTATCTAACGTGAATGGAGTTTACAAACACACACTTCCTGTATTACCACATGACATCACAGGGTGGAACAGAGTGTTTTCAGTTTGAGAGAAGAACTCACCTTAAGTATGCAGGATTTGAGAGTTAAATGTATGAATGAAACAAAACACAACTCCAGGTATGTTTGTGTAATAGTGTAATGTGGGCCCATTAAATTGCTAATTTTAATCCACATTTAAACACAATTTTGATCAGTTCAGAGTTAATTGCTCTCATTAGTTGTGTGTTGTCATTGACATGCTGTATTAACGCACTGTGTATCAAACATGCTCCACGAATTATTGGAAAAGCTCCATTTAAAAGGGCATTGTTTTTGGTGGCACATGCTGTGAGACTTTCTGTCATCGCTCCCTTATCACATGAAAACACTGGAGGTGATTTCTACTGCACCAACAACATGGATTTGAACTGTTGATTTCAGAATCTTGACTAAAACAGTTCCAGATGGATTTGTCACTGTTAATCAAATTCTAATTCAATCAGGATACCGTTGTTTAAAATTATCATTGATCAGTAGGTCTTTTTAATAGAAAAGTATAAAGGATTTAGTTGGACCTGTTGAACACTGCACACACAAATTAAACAGCTACAGCAGAGGTGGTGTTCGTATAATTTGAATAAGTGATGAGTTAACATCTTGAATTTAGAGTTAAAGATCTGCAAATTTCCTTTTCTTCACTTTGCGGTAATTTAGAACATAATGAAACCCAAATGTGAAATGCCATTTAAAAAAAAAAAAAAAAAGATATTTGACTTTTTCTATTATGTGATAAGCAGCTTCTGACAATTTTTTTAATGGTTCTATTCTGGAGGCTCTACTGAATAACTTTTGCACCTACATTTGCATTTAACACTTTGCATGAAAAGTGCCATTATGAATTAATATCCTTCACACGGTTACCTTTTGTTAAATAATAAATTCTCTGCTCATTTTCAGGCTTTAATAATAGATCTTTATCACTAACAGGAAATGGCAGGGATGACCTCAAATAAATGGATGTGCTGCCTTTCATTAGTGGTAGAGTCTTTGGAACAATCAGCTGCTTGTTTTGAAAAACAATACGTTTTTCACTAGAGCTAGACAATTCATAGAATTAATTTGATTAATCTGGGTTTTGAAAATTTGCAAAAATGTGAAATCAAGGGTTATTATGAAACAAGTTTACTCCTGACTTTCTTATTTGCAAAGCAGGGTTATTGTGCAATTACAATTAGATATCTATACAAACGTAATTTAAGGCAGCTTATAATTTATTAAATAAGGCAATACTCTGTATACTGTAGCACCAATAAAGGAAAATTTTATGACAATGGAAACAAACAAAATATTAAAGTTTCCACCTAGAACAATATACAGCCTGAATAAAACTACAATTGCACACAATAATCACAATTATTTCTTCTTAGTCTCTGGTCTTTATAGACATTACTTCTGCCACTATAGTAAAATTTCAAACCACAGAATAAAAATTTTAACACAAAATAATAGCAGTTTCTTTTAGTATTACTATGTAGTCTTATTGTAGTTCTGACCATTCTGGCCAATAGCTTTTTTTTTCTTGAGTATCTACATTTGATAGTTGTTTTAGGATCAGTTAGTAACTGGGTAAATCTATGACAACTCTAATAGATTTCAAAGGCTTATACATAGTGACACAAAAAAACTAAACTAGAGAGAGAGAGAGACAGATAATTCTCCAGGACGATTTTTGTTTTGGCCAACCTACTACCTAAAAATTACAACCAAAGGGGAGTGGGTGATTTTGTAGTGAAGTTATATTGTTTGGGGAAAATAATCAAAATTTGTCAAAAAATAACAGCAGATCTTACTGGCTAAAGAAAACAAAAAACATAGACGTATCTCTAACCTAAATCTCTAACCTAACAAAGGCACCCAAACACTATCATCTCTCCACACAATAGTGAATCCCAGGTGTGTGTGTTACCTTTGAGTTTGTTGTGTTCAGAGTCTGCAGGGAACAGGACGTCTGGGAAGAGCTTTTCAAAGCTGTATCCGGCGTAGCGCGGCCGGTTCTCCACGTACGTGCGTACAGATTGGTTCAGCTTCATGAGGAACTCCTGAGAGGGCGTGCCCAGCTGCTCGATCACCTTGTTCCACTGGTCGATGTCTGACAGGTACGCGGTTAAGGATACTGCGGCGGTGTGCATGGAGGGGTGCGTGGGAGGAGGGCGGGTGGAGATCGGGGTAGGGCTGCACAATTTTGGGAGATGATCTAATAGCAATTTTTCTTATTACTGGGGATTATGATTAGATTTGTGATTTAAGTATCGTAGCATTGTAAACAACTTCATTAGCATTAATATCTGAGAGAAGACTGAAATCTAAATTGATAAACTAATTACATTTGCAGAGTAAAAAAAATGAGGTTGACATTTTTTTGTCATCAGTAACAGGATAATTTGCTGTTTATATTGACATTCTATTAGTTAAAAAATTGTGGTCTATTTGATAATTACACCTATTCAAATTGCAATTTCAATATGACTGATATATTGTGCAGACCTAGTGAGGGGTAAACAAAAACGGCAATCACTGATTGGCCAGAGGTGACAAAGCAAATCTAGTTTCTGCAGTAGAAATAGATGCTTAAATGCCACACTCTAAAAAGGTCAACTACACTGTCCTCTGGGAAAACTACCAAACAAATTAAAACTATGGAACATTTCAATGGCACATGAGGATTGAAAGTGACAATGGAAAATTACTGCATACATCAGTATTTTCTGTTGGGTCAAAAGGAAACAATGAGAACAAAATATTCAATCCAACTAATGATCTACTTTAAACTGATTTACTAAATAAGCTGATAATTAAATAAATCCCATTTAAATTACTTCTACAACAGTAATCTAGAAAAAGGTGCAATTATTGGTATGATACTTTCAGAACTCTGTATTTTTAGCTAAAAAGTAAATCCTAGACCACTGTGTAAGTGTGTACAACAATGCTTGCACCTTTAAAATGTGTAGTTTTATTTCATTTGTACAGAAAGTTAAGACTCATAGAACTGTAGCTATGATCATAACTTCCTAATGTATTAACCTAAAACACAACTATATGTCTCGTAAGAAATGGTGATCCATATTTCTATTCACACATTCGTGTGTAGTAATCACTAATACTATGCACTGCAATTGTGAAATAGGCCATTATAGAGGAAATATTAAGCCAGGGCTGTAAAACTGTGGCTATGGAGGATCACCAACAACTGTGTATGAAATGTATCCAGATGCATTTGAACCAGAATAATCCACTGAAGTTCAAAAATATGAGCAAACACCACAGAGACAGCTCATCATCTGTGCAGGTCCCTCTCAAGGATACGGTCAGTGCCTGGGAACAGCACACTACCCCGGACCATTTCAGCCATGATGCAGCCCACAGACCAGACATCAACTGAAAATGACATGACACCACCCCGTTAGCATGCAGGACAACACAACCAAACACAAACGCAAAAAAGTACAACGTGTGCATGGTGAGGAGTGAAAAACACAACTGAAGATGAGGCATGCAGATGAGGGCTCTCCTATGTTGGCTTCCTATCAGGGCTAAACCATTTTCATAATGCCTACATTTTATTCTGGCCTAATAAAAAGCACCAACAAAGACTTAATTCAGTAAAGATTGTTCTTTTTGTTTCTAATTGCATTGGTTTTGCATTTGCATTAGTCCCATGTACCATCATATAACAATGTGTGAGACCATTCGGGCAAAAGGGAGATACCAATTTATATTTTTTGTTCCAGAGAGCTATTCAATGTTAACTGCAGAGTTTGCCATCTTTGTTTTAAGGAATACCTGTGCCACTAATTTAGATGACCAGTAAAAATTAGATAAGAAACTTAATAATTCATCAAATTTTTGTATGTTTACATGCACAAGAGAAATCTGATTATGCAATGGATTTTTACTACAGAAGCTGTTGTATTTGACAACCAAGTGCATGATTCTCATAATTAACAATAAGAAAGAAATCAGATTACTCACATCAGATGTACATGGCCTTGGACAAGCTAACCAAATTAATTAAGATCTGATTTCTATACCTTTAAAATTAAAAGGACATGCAAACTAAAAATTTATGATTAGTGACTAATTAGAGGGACAATGATCAGAAAAAATTTTGATGATTTTTCAGTTTAAATTACATTTGCTCCTCTGATAACAGATTTAGAGTGTGCATGTAACCACAGCCAGTGTTCATTATCTGATTTCTGGAGTTATCAGATTATTGAAATGTCATATTTCGATCAGATTTTTGGTGTGCACGTGAACATAGCCACTGAATTCAATAAAGTAGGGGGTCTTCAAACTAAAATGGCACAAGTTAAAATGCTACTCCTTATGACAGTTCCTAGTTTTTATATATTTGTAGATGTATAGCCATTCTGAGATGAGTAGCATGCAGATGAATGAGGCCAACTGAAGACATGAGAGTGTTTGTGGAGCCGTTTTAATGCCAGTCACCGCTGCAAGCAGCTCAAGGATACAATCCCTTCCTGGAAAAAGGATTTTGTGGCGCACCATTTCTGCCATAATGCAGCCCACAGCCCAAATGTCCACTACACGCGCGGCAGCAGAGAGAAAGAAGAGCAAAGAGGAGAGAGGAAGAGGAGGAGAGAGGAAGTAGAGGAGAGAGGGAGCAAAGAAAAGAAGCAAGAAGTCAGCTGGAAAAATTAGGGTCAATGTTTTCGGTCAGAAGCACTACGGGTTATAGTGGCATTTTCACCTTGGAGCCGCTGCACTTGGAAAGCAGTTGCATTCTCTGGATTAGGGTTGAATGATTTTGGAAGAATATGTAGGTTGCGCTTTTTCTGATAAGCACTGTGAATGTGATAAGATTGCCAATGTATTTTTAATGATACAATTCTATTCAGAGTTCATATTTTAAAACACATTCAGGAGCACTGACATTTGAGACTGAAATATGACTGCTAAACTGATCCAAGAATCTCATGCATTTCAGAACAAGTTTGCAGAGATCTAAACTACTTTCACAACTTTAAGATATGACATATGATTGATTGCAGGGGAAATTATGTAACTGAAATAACTGCAGTTTTTACAATTGCCAAATTGCGATCACTTGAATTTCCTTCCTATTTTTAAAATTACTGTATGAACTTCAATACAGTATATGAAAGATGGATCAATATTGTTTGGGGCTCAGTATTTATTGTGTAAACTTATATAGAAACTTTTTCTCAATTTGTTTGTAGATCTTTTAAGATGTAGAGAATTGAATAATTAACATCTAAGACTCATCAATAAAACTAAGTACTTAAGTGTTCCATTCTTCTTAATATTTATTGCAGCTTATGCCATTTTGATGATATTGTAAATTTAACAAAGATTTATTGGAATTATCCTGCTTTATCGTGTCAGTCTTATAAAGTGGTTTCAATATTATTGTTTATCTTAAAGGTGCACTGTGTAACTTTTTGGTTGGGGTGTCCATCACCTGCTTGTTTCTATGGATATGTCATTCCTCTGCCTGGAATGTTTCACAGTATGACATGAAACAGCTCTACCTTACATTTTAGATGCAAAGTTTTAATGCCATACTGTAAAACATTTCAGACAAAGCAATAACATCTATGAAGAAAAGTATTTGATGGACCTTCCACTAGAGAAGTTACACAATGCATCTTTAATATTTGTAACAATATATCACGCTTCAGATTGTGTTCTAGTGACAGACCTATTCCATACGGTACATTAGAGAGAAGTGATTTGTAAGCAGGAGCGCCCGGTTCCTCTGCTGAAACATGCAAAAGTGCCTGTGTTCTGTGGCTGCCCTCTTAATAAAACATCAAACACATGCTGAAGCTCTCCGCACACAGGAAGTCCGCCACATGCTCCCCGATGGTGACCTTTACCGGAGCAGTGTGTGCGTGTTTGTGTGTTTGTGTGTGAGGGAAGGTGCTGTGCACATAGGGGTGGGCCGTGCAGCAGCATGGGCCAATCAGCTGCTGGCACTCACCGTTGGCCTGGTAACCCATGCCCAGGATGACCTCCGGTGCGCGGTAGTAGCGGGTCACCACATAAGGAGTCATGAGGAGACCCGTGGCCGCTGTCCGGGCCAAACCGAAGTCCAGGATCTTCAGTGTACAGTCGGATTTGACCACGATGTTACTGGGCTTCAGGTCCTGTCAGAGAATACAGAGAGATATTTTGTTTACTATGAGTGAATTGAATGATTAGACATGTGCAGATCTCTATTCCAGGTGGGATCTATAAAGCATGTAAGATTTTGATAAGTAAGGTACTGATACTGGTAGGAAGGGAATATTTTGCGCCGCAAGAGAGGATTGCTAGTTTATTTTAATCTAAATCACAATTTGACAAGGACACAATTAGGATAATTAGCAAAGGCAGTAGATTTTGAAGTACGGTAACTTCCTTCAGAAAACAAAACATCTTATTCTGGATAAAACTGTTAATCCCGTAGTTTAGATCTGTAAAAACATGTTCTGAAATGTGTTTCTTATATTAGTTTGTCAGTTTGCATAATTGCATAACTTTCAAACAGAATGGTATTACTTAAACACAAATTGCAAATCTAAAGCCATTGTTTGTCAGAAATACAATTAAATCCAGCCACTGATATGAGTTAGAAGGGGCTAGAAGAAATAGTGCTAGGTGTGAACATGAGCACTCTGTCCACTGTCTGCATCCAAATATAAAGCGCTTTATGGTCCACAAGCCAGGAATTGAGCTGTTAGCATGCTAGTTGTTAGCATTACTGGAACACTCTCCCCTCTAGACTCTCATTGCGGTAAATAATTAGGATGCTAGGAATACATTAAGAAAGTCAGGAATACCTTTGGACTGCAGCAAACTGCAAATGAATTAGTTTCTGTTTACCATGTTTTTAAGACAGTAAAAATAAGCTACAGCCCTTTTAACTGATACTTCACAGTCTACTATTTTGTGAAGGAAAACTCACATTTTGAACTGGCATTAGATTCCATACAATACATCTCAAAAGCATACATACAAACATTAATATTTGCTGTTTTTACTCAGAGGAGTTAGTAATAAAAGCAATACGGCTAAACTAGCTGAAAAAACAGACTCTTTTATGCTAGCCTTGCTGCTTTGAGCAGAATTCCAAATACCACCTTTATACCACATAAGGTCAGTGTCCTTAAAGCACAAAAGGTGAATCAGCCCTGAAACACTTATCTCCACCCTTTCAGATAAAACTGTCTAGACTCATCAAACTGAACAGTAGTGAAATAGCTTCTGGGGGCTGTGCAGATATCGGAGCATGTCACATAATTATATGTATTGTATCTGTTGTATCGCACACAACAGACTGATTTGAATACGCGGTGATGGGTGACTCAGTGCATCTTTCACCTTGACAAAATGAAAAGTTTGTGTGTAGACTCTGGTTGATGGAGCAGAGATGGCGGTGCTGCCTGTGGCTCCATTAGTTCTGGCTGACGGAGCTTTATCTGCGTTAAGTAGAGTCTGAGTGGAACATTCACTGGAGAAGACACTACATTGTAGCTTTGAACAATGGGAAGAAGTGTAACGAGAATTCAAACTGCCACTTTAGAGGCCTCATGACTAAATTTGTGTTTTTGTTTCGTCAAGGATTTCTGTGTAGATTATTGTGCCACTGGCAATTCTTTATTTAAAAACCATTTGTGGAATACAAAATGTATTTTGAGGCCTACATTTAATGGGCTCATATTTTGCTATTTCCCGATCTACGATATATAGTAATGTGTCCTCATCAAAAGCATACCTGGAGTTGTGTTCTGTTCCACCTTGCGATGTCATGTGGCAATACAGGAAGTGCTCCACTGTGTTTTTAAACTCCATGCTAGATTTCACTGGAATAATTTTTTGCGCATTACATATGTCACAATCAAATGGCAGCGATTGGTTAAATAAAAAAGTACCCCCCTACAGTTAAGAGAATGAATTCTAATGCTGCAAGGTCAGGCGGTTTCCTTGAAGTGAAACCGGCTGACGAATCAGGCTAGTTTTATACTGCAATATAACAATACTTTCCAGTCGTACACACTAATCGAATACCCTGCAGAAGCCAGCAGACCTTGTCCTTCTCAGTGAAGCGAGTAATACATCTGTGAATGTGTGTGCGTGAATCCAGGTTTGTGTGTTTTACCCTGTGGATGATGCCAGCCGCGTGCAGGTGTTTGATCCCACAGAGCATCTGGTACAGCAGGTAGGACAGCCTCTCGTGGTCCAGCTCCATCTGGATCACTTGACAGAGGTTAGCATCCATCAGCTCCATCACCAGGTACCTGCAGCACACAACAGTACAAATGAGCTGGGATGGCAATATTGAAATGCCTGTACGATGAATGCTTGTTGAAAAACAGAATTGCAACTAGATTTTGTAAGGAGCTTTTAGAGATAAGAAAAAATACTCAATACTAATTCTGATAACACATGGAAAATAAAAATACCAGTTTACGTGCTCTTATACTCCATCTGATACAGCTCAAAATTATTCTAACTCTATTCAGGAAAGGTTCGTCTTTGTCCTGTGAATTTTTTTATATCGATACCTGCTCAAATGAATATCTGGTTTTGATATCCGTTTTGATTTGTATCCAATTTTTGATACCTACTTGAAGATTTTTTCTAAATGCTTCAGCACAAGTACAGATAAATGATAAAAGCAGCTTAGGGTCAAAATGAGGCCGCTGTGTGCTGTCTTGATGTAATAATTATAAAGCATGTTAAACCCCTTACTCAAAACAATCTGACATTCACTTAAGGTATTTCTATACAAAATTGATGGTCATCTTGGCAGAGCTTGTTTTATTGGATCATCTCTGTGTGCAGTGTATCAGCCAATTACACCCCAGTTAGGTACTCTAAAGCAGGAATCTAGCTCAAGATCTGAAATAGGGTCCCCGGGCACTAAAGCAAGGTAACCGACTGCTCAAACAGGTTGCCCCAGTGCACTAAATCAAATGTCACATGCAGAGAATGTTTTTCTGCAATAAGTACATGTCAGCTTACATCTTACTGCATGAAATGTACTACTTTTTAAAGGGGCCCTGTGTAACATTTCTGTTAGGGCAGGGGGCTCTGTTGGTCTCTAAGGAAATGTTATTGCTTTGCAGAGAAAATTCCACATTATAGCACTTAAGTCATTCATCTTTAAATTACTGGTTTAAGGAAACATGTCCCTATTGTGAAAGGGCTCGCCTATCCACAAATCTGACCTGTCACTTGACCTGGTGATGGAATCTTCTTGTCTCCACTGAGATAGACAAGTTAAATGCCGCACTGTGGAGCATTTCAGCATCTCCAGGTTTAAGTTGTGGACTATAAGTAGTGTAGTCACAATTCTAACATTTCAAACTTGATTTCTGATATTAAGGAATAAACTAGATACTTAAAACAGATTCCAATGCCATATTAAAAACACTCTTTATTTAGACAATAGAATAGCATTAAATCATAGTACTTTCTTTTATATTACCATGCAGTCTTATATAGGTGTAGGTTCCACAGTGGTCCATGGGCATATACTAACCTAGGTGCTCTTACACTTGTTCTGATACAGCTCAACACAAAAAATTCAAACTGAAATATTATTAAAAATTTGTATTCATGTGGAGTCTACATTTTACAGCATTCCTTAAGTGGGTATAATGTTAGGCCAATGTGTGATACAAGCAGATCTTTCCAAATCTGTGCTGTGCTGTGCTCTGTGACATTTAACCAGTGACAACCTCTGTCTCCCCCAAACTGTGATCAAGACATGTTTCCTGGCAGCTGTTACATCACCTCTCCTTCCCTTCAACAAGCAAACTTCTAACACGTCTCTCTCGCTAAATATACCCTCAGAGTCCTCTGCACTGAAATGCTAAAGTTCGCCGTATATAGTCTAATCATGAGCAAAACCTGCCTGTGGAATCTTCTCAAATGTCACTGGAATACAATGAGCATTTGTGGCCACTTGGTAACTGCTTTTCTGTTTTCTATCTGAGTCCAATCCCCGCAGCCATGATTTGTGTGGTTTGCCTTTTCGCTCTGATCTGCAGGAGCAGTGATGCCAGTGCGCTCCCGGCCCCAGTGTCTCGGGATAGCATTATTAATTGCATTTGTTTCTGTGATCTGCTGCAAACATAGACAAGCACAACATGGCCGGTCTCTATTGGCTTTGATGTACAAACTGAATTGAAGGAAGAAATGCCAGAGATGATCGATTAGCCAAAGTGTGTTCAAAAGGACTGGGGCAAAATGGCAAGGTTCTGTTGTCTGGTAATAAGAATGAATTAAAGTCGCCCGTGGCGATGATGGCCCCCTGGTGTGCATGCTCCTCCCACGTGACCGGCATGCTATTGTCCCTTGACGTCAGCTGACCAGGCCCACAGATTAGAAAAATCACACAGTGCACCTTTAAATGCTTTTTTTTGTATCTATGCACCCCTTCTAATCAACTGTGAAAAATACTCCAAGTCCGTAATACTTTTTTTTTGCTTTTAGTCATTTATATAATTTAATACCCGAATATGGTAGAAGTCCAGTAATGTCTATGGCAGGGGGCTCTACCATGTACACTTATCACACGCTTTATAGTGTATTATATTAAGGTCGAGATCACGCATTAGTGATGCTAATTTCAGCACGATTGGACTATGCCTATATGTGTACGATTTTATATTTTTGGGGGGAGTCTTGTGCCCCTGCTGGCCAACAGTGAAAAATGCTCCATGCCAATAATATATATTTTTTTGCTTGTAGTCATGCATAGAATTCAATCCCCAATTTTGGTACATATCTGATAATGCTGACATTTCATGTCTATGGTAGGGGGTGCTATAGTGTCACCCCAATTCAGGAGGTGAAAAATGTGAGAAAAAAATGTAAGAAGAAACTGGCAAAGAACAACAGGAAGAACTCAATGAGATGTTTTTGAGAAGTTATTGTGAACTTGTGGTGAGACTGATCAAATAATTTCTCTCATTCTTAGAGTAGAACATTTTTAAAGGGCCTATATTATGCTATATTGTGATCTATATTATAATGCTGTTTCCTCATCAAAAACCTCCACACACCTTCACTAGAATCATTGGGATTATTTCAACCCTGAAATTGCCTATATCTACTGAATAAAAAGTAAAAACATTTCACCTAGAAAACAATTGCTTCATGATATCACAAGGTTGGAACAGCATTCTGAGCTTGAGTGATGTAGACAGACTAATAATAAATGATTATTCAAATGTCTGTAAATGTTTGACATATCTCCAGGTATGTTTTTGTTGAGGGAACATTTGAACAAGCCTTAAAGCTCACAGGGGTTAATTTTGCATAATATAGGCCTTTTAAATATTTTTCAGAATTGTATAGCATATACAGTAATCATATTAAAGGTGCACTGTGTAATAAAATGTAATGTTCAGGTCTTCCATCTGCTAACCCCTATGAAGTTGCTTGGCTTGAATGTAGCACAACAGGGTATTAAACCATCTTTAGCAGCTACCATCTGCAAGTAACCATTTTGCATTTATTCAATTACAGGTGTTTTTAACCCAAAAAATACATTCAAGTTGAGAATGGGGTCGCCTTTCCACAGATCCAACCCGTAACCTTCAAAGAAATAGATACAATAAATGCCATGCTGTGGAAAATTACAGGCAAAGCAATAACATGGTGCACAACATGAAAGAAAATAAAATTTAATAGAACTGTAGATGGAAAATCTTGTCCAAATTATTTTTTGTTTGTTATAATTTTTTATTAAGAAAACATCTCATTTAGAATGTAGCACATTCTAAAAAGCACAATAAACAGGCCATTACAAAAGCATTATAGCAGTTTGGGGAATCCTCACTTGCTCCTTTTTGTTTCATTTCAATTCCAGTCTATAACCAGAGATGAGCTTTAAAACGCATATTTGTTCTTCTCTGCTATAACCGACCCCCTGCTTGGACTAAACAGGCTTGATAAGACAATATAAGAAGAAAATATCATCCAAGCCCCCCACATGTCATATCCTGTTCTACTGATCTTGTGAGCATGGAGTATACATCTGTCTTCACAAAATACTCACACATCTTGGAACTCCTCCAGCGTCTTCTGCGGTGTGAATACATTTAATAGACCGATTATCTGTGAAAACAGCAAGAAAGCCCTGGTTAATTCCGTGGATTCTCTGGGAAGGAAGAGACCAGAATTAAATCAATTACTGGGTTTATATGCTAGTAGGGCTGAGTGCAGAATACAGATGGGTGATCTAGCCTACTCTACATCCACAAGCCATTAGTCCAGTGAAGTTTATTTGGTCTGGATACTTGATTATTTAATCCAGTACATGTGTTTGGGACCAAAGTTTAGTTTAGGTTTTGGCGCCGTCGTTCTATCCGTGGAGGCAGGATGATGGTACCATCTACAGCCCGAGTTTGAAAGCAAAAATAAACCAGTAAACCGGGGACAAGGGGGCCTTTTCACTCTCACACACGTGGGCTACTGAGACTTTTTATTTATTTACCACTGAATACTTTCATCAATATTGGCCCTATCGGTGTAAAAGAAAACTGGGACAGAGTTTACAGTGCCCACTGAAGGGGAAACTTTCACAGGATTGTTCTCCACTTCTGAACACAAACGTTGTGGTATGAGATCTCATCACATCCCTACAACAAGATGATATTTCCATTCACTTTTTTTTTTTTTTTTTTCCCCTTGGCCTACAACCAAGGCACATATTAGCACATTTTTGAAGGATTATTACCTGCAGAAATGTAAACTCAGTCATTCAAGCATTTTGTAGTATTTAACATAAGATTTATTTCTGCTTTATTGTGCTGATAAGAATGTTAGGGCAGATACAAGTAGGTTTTGACCAATTCTGTGCTTGCTGCAGTTTAGGAAGCACTCCCATTGGCCGTTTATTTTCTGCTGCAGGTCAATCAATGAATCAATATTGCACTAAAAGATCCATTTGAATTCTACCTTAAAGGGAAGAGAGCAATTACATCAACTTAAAGAGCAAAACTTAACAAGAAGCATTTGAGAGCTTAGGTTGATAAATTTATTTTCTTAGGAGCTGTCAGATTGCTAATGCTATTGCTATCCCCCATAGCAGAGTGCATAATAAATAATCATAAAGTAAGGATGACTAATAAATCTCAGGAAAAGGTTGCAACGTTTTAGCTGACTGCTTTAACTCCTAAAGCAAAGTGCCTAGCAGAGATTAAGTACGTCAGGGACAAACTAATACAATACAAGGGACGGACTAAAATTAGGTTCAAGTTCACTTTTATTTTTTCTGTGATTGTTATTTTGTATTTGCATGTCTGTTTAATAAAAAAGGTAAAGAGGATAAGGGCTTGCTGGTTCAAATTGGCCAGGATAAGATTAAAGAAGAAACCTTGATTTGTCCCGCAATGGAAAAATTTCAATTACAAGAAAAGTAGTAAAATAAGAAACTCGTGAACACTTTTTAATTTTTTGAGACTGTTACACTATTGTTACCTCCTCAAAACAAACCTGGAGTTGTGTTTTGTTTCATTCGCACATGTTTGAGAAACTGTTATTAGTCAATCTATACCTCCAAAGCTTAAATGCCTTTGACCTTGTGACGTCATATAGTGGTAGTTTAAATTAACTTCTGTCTTTTACCTTTTATTCAGTAGAGATTGAAATTGAAATTATGGAGATGATTCTTGTGTATGGAGTTTAAAAACACAGTGGAGCACTTCCTGTATTACCACATGCCATCATCACAAGGTGGAGTGTTTTCTGTTTCAGAGAAGAACTCAGCCTAAATGTGCAATGTTTGTGTGTTAAACATGTGTGATTAAAACACAACACAACTCCAGGTCCTGTTTTTGATGAGAAAACATTACAACATAGATCAGAAAATGGCATAATCAAAAATATAAGAGTGTAGTTTCATTTTATTTATAAGAAAAAACAATCCAAAAAATAACATAATATAATCAACATAATAATCTCATTTCCTCCTGCATGTCCGTGACAGCATTAGCAGCTACACGGCATCCAGCAAACGAACAGGCGTGTTTGTGTTTATGGTAGGAAACTCATTATGCATGTGGGGGCTGACTCACTGTGGACTCAGCACTCACAAATTGGAAATGCTACAGATTATCGCTGCAGATTATTGTGGGGAAGATACTGCTATATATCAATATTTAATACTGCAAACACAACAGAGGTTTTTGTGGATGTTACAATGTTAAGTGCTTTTATTGTTGATCTTGCACTTCGAGAGGGTTCTTATTTAGATGAGCAGTGTGGAAAAATATTGAAGTTTAGATTTTTGTGGAGAGACCGATATATCAGCTGGCCGATATGGGCGCTTGTGGACACATATCGGCTATCAGCCTAAATCTTGCCGATATGGGTTGATCATCCACGTGGGCATGTTATACCTCGTTATAAAGCTTAGACTCTCTATATTACGTCCATTTAATCCAATTTACAGACAGATAAATGTCCTACTATGTGGCACCTCATTAATATTTATTTGTGGAGTAATTTGTGCCTGTGACGCCGTACTGCCCCTGAACGCACCCCCAAGTCACGTCACTCACGTACGCTTGTCTACAAAAAAAATTCTCTTAAGACCTTTAAGACATGTTGGAATATTGTTACATCACACACAACATACCTGGAGTTTTGTTTTTCTCACATGTTTGTTTTTATTAGTTACTACATCCCCTAGCCTAAATATACTGGATTTGTGTGTTAAACATGTGTGAATGAAATACACATTCCGTCAGTCTGTCCCAGGGCAGCTGTGGCTACAGTAGTAGCTTGCCATTAGGGAGCGTGGAGTGAATGAACAATGAACTGCAAAACGGAGGAAACAACATTATAACAGATCAGAAAATAGCATTGTTTGGGCCCTATAACTAAATTCGGGCTCTCACTTAGAAGTTATTTTGTCAAATACAGCTTTGGACAGCAGTGGCACAGTGGTTTAAGTGGTCTGTCAGCAGTTCAACCACCTCTCCGATTAGCGCGTGCAGTATGTGCTAATGTATGAATGTGGTGTGGTGAGTGAGTGGTGGTGGTCGGAGGGGCCGATGGTGTAGATTAGCAGTCTTATTTCCATCACCCTTATAACCTTATTTGGAAGTTAATTTTTTGTTTTGTTTTCATCAACTCTTTTGCAAATATTTTAAAATAATAAACAACATAACTAACTATTTGAGTAAAAATAGTCTTTCCCCAGTACAAATATAATGTACATGCATCTTTGTAAGTGAAAACATGTCCACTGTGCGCTGTCTGCATCTAATTACAAGCATTTTATTATCCAATAATAATGAAGTGTGTGTTAGCATGCTAAATGTTGTTAGCTTCACCGTCAAGGAAAACCTCCCCTCTGGTCCCTGATAGTTGTGAAAAGCACTAGTAAACTCATCGTGGTAAATAATTGGGATTCTCACAACACATAAGGGAAGTGAGGTATTCCTAACTTTGGTCCACTACAAACAAAGTTCTGTTTTTTAACAGTAAAAATCAAAGATATAAAAGAGTACAGTGGGTTTAAGTGGTTAGGTCACTTAGCATATTGTGTATATTTTACCAAATTGATTAAAATCCCAAGCTAAAATGTGCCCCCGATTCCCAGCCCTCATTCTGAAAGTGCAGTTGTGAATAGGTTCTTACGTTCTTGTGGTTGACACATTTCATCAGCACCAGCTCTCTGTAGGCCCGCTTGGCATGGGTCTGGTTCTGAAAGGGCCGGCTCAGCTTTTTGATGGCTACGTTCCTCTCCAGGTTGTGGTCATAGGCTGAACTGTAGAAAGAGAGAAGACACATTCACACAGTCAGCTCATTATCTTAACTGCTACATAAAGACTCTTTCACTAACACAGCTCAATCACAGCCATTAGACTGATAAGGAAACCAAGAGCATCTCCACACAGACATGCACAAGCTTCTACAACAGTTTTTTTCTGATGAGAAATGCAAATTGACTGAGTTACATTGTGGACTAATAAAATAACCTTTATACAAACACCATTTTTACACTAGTAGTTGATTTTTCCAACCATTTTTAACAACTCCCCTGAAAACAATTCTTTATCTCAGCAGGACTATCCTGGTTAAATAAAGGTCAAGAAACAAATAATATAACTACCAATGGCATTGGTTAACAATGGTAATCAAATGAAAACATTAACTAATAAAACTATTTTAACCCATAACATTACCTGTGTAAGTTTCTAAAACTAAGACAAGCTTCAAAATGCAGACCATTCTTGGGAGTAATGGTTCAACATCGCCCAGCTTGATGACTCTTTGCCCCCCTTAGTTAGGGACATCTTTAATAGTATGTGATCAAAAGCCATAACCCAGCATATTCACAGAATTGCTGAAGCAGTGGGACGTGTCTTAGCTTCTGCTTGAATTGCAAATCTCATATTGATTTGTGCAAACTAAATGTAACAAGTTCATCAACAGGAATTCATCACTCCAAATGAGTAATCTCTAGTGTATGAGAATGCTGGAACAATGCTAGGTGCTACAAATGTTAGCATACAAATAGAACATCATTATTTACACCAGCTTATCCTGAAAGTGATCCAGGCAGGCTGTACAGCTCTCTCCAAGCCAAACAGATCCACAGGAAACACAATCGCACTCTGCACTGACAACAAACACTACATTATGCATTAATCCCCGATGCACTCTCTATTATTTCATCTTAGCTCCAAAAACAGCTGACCCAGAATGTTACGAGTGTGGTATAAACTTCACCAGGAAGACTCTTTCAGCCAATCACACAAGACATCACAACAGACTAGAATCCCTATAGATTTGCTGACCTGGTTTATGGTTAACATCTCTATAATTATTGGTCTTATTCATATGAAACACTAAGACAAAGTTCAACATCTTCACTGTCAGCATAAATAAACAAAAGTGAAATTCTTTTTTACACAATATGTTCAGTGGTGTCACAAGACATGATTGTTTATTGAGCAAGTCCCAAACAAAAAATTATAAGGTGCAATATTTGTGTACAATGGTTTGAAAATGTCTTTAAAACAATCAATGTCCCATATAGTTAGCCAAGTCCCTGTCCTGATGATGATGACATAATCAAATTTTAGATTGTGAACACAACCTTTTGCTGGGTTTCAGATTTCATCAAAACATGTTATGGGCAATAATATTTAATACAGATGAGGAGAAACTCAAATATATATTGTTGAAAAGCAGTTTTTGTTGAAACATAGCAAGTTATAACAAGTTATAGCATCTAGTCGCTAAATGGTGGTTTTCAGATTCTAGAATGCGATGATGTCATACTCTCAGATGGGGGCCAAGAGTCAGAATTTCCAATCGATAAAATACTTTACCATGAAATATCTAAGGTAAATACATAAATGCTGAACCTTCTTTTAGTGACTAAACCTAAACTAAACCTAAAAATGTACCATCTGTATTAAACACTATTGGCTTTTAGAATAATGTAATGTTATCTGAAACCCAGCAATAAAAATGATCAGCTTCAACATTTGTGAATTTTCCTTTTAGATATTACCAACGAAGTCCAATGAAATTAAGCCCCTGCCTGTGTGTATGAAATAATGTACCAATAAACCTTACTTCCTTACCTCACTCATATTTAGCTCTCTCTTGGTACTATGAACTAATAATATTATTGAAGGTGATAGATTTTACACTTACCAGACTATTCCCTGTGCCCCTGAGCCGACGGGTCTGAGGCTCTGATAGCGTTTTAGAACAGTGAAAGTGGAATCGCCCACATCTATACTGTAATACTCCTTCTCGCGTTTGTTCCTGTTCATGGTGGCACCTGAGACCTACGCCGAGACAGGGCATCCAAGTGGAGCGCTCCTCACCACACCTGGGGACAGAAAACAGAAGTGAACATATTGTAAATATTTGCTTGTTAAAATTTTACCACTTCCCAAAATATATTTCAGTGAAGTTCTGTCAAAACAATAGGTTCTTGGCATGGTAACGTATGTTTTAGCTTAGTTTGTGTCCATTCTCTTTACATCCACTTTTGTAGCTCTTTTAGAAAATATAGTAACAATAGACATGGAAGTTAGTACTTATAGCTTTGTAGACACTTCCACTGTGTAAACAGTTCAAATGTGAATCAATTTTGAATACAAATGTGGGAGCCGCTTTATGAAAAAATGTGTAACTTTTCTGGTGGAGAATTATTCAAATGCTTTTCTCCAAAGATGTTTTTTCTTTGTCTGGAATGTTCAGTGGTCCTTTCCATCTTTCTGGAGACTAAACAAGACCAAGTTACAGGTCAGATCTGTGGAGAGGGCAGCCTCAATTCACAGTCAGAATGCCTGTTTTTCAAGGCATTTTTGAGCTATTAAACCTCCTGTAAAATGTAAAGAGCTGAATGTCATACAGTGTAACACTATTGGCAGAGCAATGCTATGTCCATAGAAACAAGCAGATGACAGAGCCCCAACCAGAAAGTTACATAGTGCACCTACCTTTAAATCAAAGAGAATAACTTTCTTCGAACCTCAGTTTCGAGGGCTTGATACTCAATACCACAATGATTATTAAAAACATGCTTATCTAATATGACATATTGCCAGAGTTTTTACATTCCCACGTGGTTTCATACTTGTTACGATAAGTGCTAAATATGTATTTTTTTCCATTCTCCATTCTCAATACTAATTTTAGTATCAATTCTTTTGACAATCCCACTAGGGCTGCAGTTGACCAAAGACAACTATTACCCATCTCTATGTACAGTATTTGACCCAAACTCCACTCACAAGACAAGCGTTCATGCAAAATCCTTATAATCTAAATAGAATGATTTATAGACTAATACCAATTTTGGCCTTGTTAGCAAAATTGTAACTTTTAATGGTAAATTCTAATGCAAGATCTATGCAATTGAGACATCCTGTGAACAACAATCTTATGTTTCCATGCATTGCCTGCTTACTTAGTTTCGACCTCAATCCCTCCCCAGTCCCCAGATAAATCAATATTCTATTATAAAGGGTGCAAATAAAGACCACAAAGTCATTGGTGGCTTATTGTCAACCACAACAAAACTCATCTGTGTTTGATAAAGCCGTATTCATCTTCATTACTTAATCAGAACCTAATAAAAGCAGAAACAGGCATCGAATAAGATATTCTAACACAAACACAGCAGTGCGGTGTGGAGCACGGAGACACAGTTAGGATCCAGGACACGAGGTTTTCATGCTGGGAACGAGAATCATTAGTGGAATTTGGAGCGCAGCATTGAAAAGGTTGGCTCTGAGTAGAGATGATGGTTGTAGATTTCACAGTCCACGACCCACATCATGTACATCACCGTGCCGCAGACTCTCATCTCCTCCAAAGTACTTGTTTCTATGGCAGCACGCAGTTTCTGTTACCGTTTCCCATGCTATCCAAAACTGGCACCACTTTATGTACTCATTGCTGACAGAATGACAACATGAAGGTATTACATTAATCAAAATATTGTCTGAAAAAGGGCTGGACAATATCTCAATTGAATCAGAATTCCAATGTGAGTAGGTGCAGTTATCAAATTGCAAAGTCTTCAGTTAATTAGGTAAGAGAATGTCCTTTTACAAACATGTTCTGAAATGTGTAGAATTCTTGCATTAGTTCATCAGTTCCCATTTTAATCTGTCAAACGCTAATGTTCCTGGAGCTGTTTACAATGTGCACTCTGACAGAATCCAGTCCTGGAATAAAAAAAATAGCTATGCTAAAAGTTAAATGCTCTATGTGTACACAATAAAAATATTTGACCAGCCTAATGCTAAATTGATAAGTTTAATGCCATAATGTGGAACATTCCAAGACAATAACATCTCCATGGAGGTAAGCACAAATATTGTGTCAAATGTAATGTTTTTTTTTTTTTTTAATCCATCTGGAAATAGAGAAGCTCTCAAATCATTTCAGTTTATGAATTCAAAATTTGTGTTTTGTGTGATGGTGCTGCCCCACCTTTTTCATCCCACTTTATTTTTCCACCCCTCCTGAATCCAACTTGAAATGACAGGGAGCGGACTGATTCTTTGTATGAAACAGCAAACGAAATAAGATTGGCCGACCGGAGTATGGCTCAAATTGAGACGTGCACAAAATGTCAAATAGGATCTTAAGCTGTCCCCTAAATGCATTCCCCGCCATGTGTCCTCCTATATCCACCCAGCTTTACTTCATCTTTCTCTCCCTCTCCCTGTCTCTCTTTCCTCCTCTCCTGTCTCTCCCAGTTTTGATCATAACACCATCTTTTCCTTCCTCGCTGAAGAAGCTTGTCGACAGTGCACAAAAGTGCAGGGATTTCAAAATGTGTGCAAAAGACTCAGGAAAGACGATGTTTTATCTCGCAGAAGCAGCAGGTGGCAATGGCAAATAAACATGGAACAGTATTAGAGCCCTCCGCCTCAGAGTACAAGTAAGCTGTGCAAACTGCAACATTTTTAAAGAAAGTTAGGACATTTAGATTATCATATTTTGCAAGCATCAAAAGTATTGAAAAATCAAATACTAATTGGTACTAAAACTAGTATCGAAACTAGATACTCATTTGAGTAGGCATCGATACAAAAAAAAAAGTCACATTCACAGGGCAGAAATAATCCATTGTATACAGAAGTATAAGCTGTATCAGTACAAGTATAAGTACCAGATAGGTACATAACACACATAAGTACCACACAGACTAATATACACTCATGGACTATTGGAACCTACTTGGAGGACTGAGGGATTACAAAAATATTAGGCAACAAGGTAATATAAAATAAAGTCCTATGAATTAATGTTCAAAATTACATTCTATTGTCCAAAGAAAGGGTGCTTTTTATTATCATAGTGGGATCTGAATTGGTATAGAGTATCAAATCTATTCCTTGGTATCGAAATTTTAGTATTGTGACAACATTAGAGATGCCATCTCTTTCCCAAGAACGTTTCACAGTATGACACTGAACCATCATTCAGCCATAGAGACAAGGAGGACAAGTTGCATGTCTGGTCTATACAGAAGGGAATGTATTTTTTTAATGTAATTTGGACAATTAAGATCACTCGTAATTGAACAAATGCATGTTGGAGTTGCATGTAGACATGTATTGCTTTTTTCTAGGAAAAGCAATACATGTCTTTTATCAAGTCACCCATTCTGCCTACAAGAACAAAGAAAAAACATTATCAAACATTTAATTAAAGCCCTTTAATACAAAAAAGCCACTTCAATAGCGCTGAAAGGGTTAACTAATTAATAAACACTACCTGATATTATATTGAAAGAAAGAAGGTTGATATATTCAGGACACTGGGGAACTACTGAGATATTTTAATAAAAGGAACTCTTTGTTTTGTTGGTGAAAAAAATAATAGGGTACAACAAAAACAGCTCCTTATCAGCTCTGAATATTAAACTTATTCATTTTCTGCTGAATTATGAATAGAAGGGAAGCTCCCCTGATAACACACTTCAAACCGCTTGGCTCAATTTTTTTTAGACGGGTTTTAGTTCTGGGTTTGATTTCCGTGCTTTGAAGGATAAACTTTATTTCACTTTATGTTTTCTTTTTGTCTGCAACTAGGTTGGGGTCACCTGTGGACAACAAAGATATGCTAATAACAAAAGGTTGACCAGTAACAAACTGGAAGTTTAATTCCTACTCAACAAAGAGTTCATGGGCAAGGCACCATGCCACACATTGCCGTCTAATCTTCAGACTCTGCATTTGTTATGTGTCTAAATCTCTTACAATCAAAACCTGATCGTATAACTGGAGTTAAGCCAATTTAATTTTATGCTAGCAAACACAACAACAACAAAAAAATACAGTCTCACGCATAGACTGTATAAAGAAGTGGACTAAGGGAGTGAGACGCCACCCTTAGCGTTCAGCTTCAGTAAAATGAAGCTCACGAGTCTAGCAGGTAGGTAGAGTTTGGGGCCGAGTTCCAAATTAGGAATAGGAATTTATTAATGGACAAAACAGAAAAATAAAAAAAATAAAAAACAGCAGGATCATGTAGAGCAGGCAAATGTGAACATTTTAAAACCAAAATGATGAGGGTCACTGCAGCAGTTACAGACAGTGGTGACAATATTTTAAGTCAATTGGAGTTGATGTAGCCAGAAATGCCCCTATGCTCACTTCCTATTTGGATCACGGCAGTTGGCGGCTTAGCTATGCCCATACAGTCTATGGTCTCAAGACAGTAGGGTTATTAAAAAAAAAGACTGATACCCAGACAATAATCAGTAAAAAAAAATAAAAAAATGTATAAAAACTAGGAACACACTTGAGCAAGTATTGATACAGAAATGGTATGGAGTATCGATCATTGTCTTAGTACCAAAGTAAGGGTTTGAAATGTTAGTATAATAATGCTAAAAGCTAAGGTCTGTTTTTTTTCCTGTCAGTGTCAGAGCCCATCTTATAGGCTTCTGTATTGTTGCCATCAGCCAGTCACAGCCTGCTGTGTTGCCCGCAGCAGCAGAATAACAAACCTCCCTCAGTCTTACCATTTAAATGGTAAAATAAATAAATTATCCTCCTTTCTTTTGGCAAACAGAAACTTAATTTGACTTTTTTATCCTCCCAAAAATAACCACTTTGCTTGGTGTGATACAAGTTGAGACAATGTTGCTAGTGCAGTGCACGGCTGAACACGTCTACCACATTTCCCAGAGTGCATTGTGGCGTGGTTTTGTTTTTGATGTGGAGAAGTGTTAGCCTACTGGATCTGTGACGGCGTGTGAAAGAGGGCCAGAGCGATATGACAGCCCGCGTGTCAGCCTGTCAGCCCAAATCCTGCTTTTGGAGAGACGTTATACGAGTATGCATGTAGAGGCCTGCAGTCCCACACAGTCTGCAGGTGGAGAGGAATACGAATATAATATATAAATGACTGGAAGTTGAAAAATTGACAATGTCAAATGTAAGAGACAGCCAGGGTTGAATGGTTTGTGATAAAGAGACCATTTTTCGTTGCGTTTTGGTGAAGAAGCAGCTCTGGACAAGTAAGGGCTGACTTGATTTGCACCGGCCTTCACCTCTCCACTGTCCATCATTCTGTCCACACAGCAAGCAGCAGCATCACTCACTGGAGAACTGGAGTAGTTTTTTTTTTTTTTTATAAGTTAAATTTTTTCACTAAAAACAGCTACTTCTGTCAGACTTGTTCTCCCTAGTTTTAAGTTTTCAATAAGGTTAACAGGTATACTTGATTCTACAGTACCATTTCCAGACATAACTACAGAGGGCTGTGCCAGTGCAATTAATACATTTTTGGATCAAGTCAAAATTCAATCATTTCAAATAATGAAATGTCTTTTTTATTTTATTTTATTTAACCAAATAAAATCTTTTCAGAACTCATTTTTATTTGCAAACATCTACACTCCAATTCTTTGTCAGTAGAAGCATCTGGTTTGGAGCAGAGTTTTCATATTGTGTTAAAAAGGCCCTGTCCAATATGCTCCTGAATTAAATATTGAAAGGCATATTTATGTGTTTCATGAGGAAAATTACAATAACTAGAAACAATAATTGGTTAATACAAGGAAAAAATTTGAAAAATTGTTTTGGCCACACCACCTGGCCCTACTGAGAAGAAACTGCATTCTTCACCTGTATCCGCTCTGGATGAACCATTGTCACTTCCAATCTTATGCATTTACAAATGCCTGTCAACACCCTAACACCAAAACCTTAGCTATAATTTGCATAGCATTTTGCAAAGTAGCAGGAACCGGGCCAAACGCCAGAACATTTAGGGCACGTCTATTAGAAGAGGAAAAGGGTGCACACACAGTATTTGGCACACATTCATGGTGGTAGATTGTAGGAGGGAGAGGGCGTAAATTTAATCACAGAGGTCACTTTGAGAAATGTCTTTATGCCTCTGCCAATTTAAGTAGTTGGCCTTACATACCTTTTGGGAGTAAAAAAAAAAAAAACAGTACTATTCAACACTTCAGCCAGTACTGTTAAATGTGCAGCAATGGGGTCCCAAATAGGTGCTAGTAAGTATTGTTTATCAACAAGTGTCTATTATAGTGTTGTCATTATACTAAAATTTCAAACTCAAATAGACTTCATACTCAAAACCAATACCACAATGATAATAATAATAATAAAAGTGGTCCAGGTAGGTAGGTGCTAGTCTTACACTTCTAATACAGCTCAAGATCATTCTAAAGCTATTCAGAAAAGGTTCATTTTTGAATGTGAATGTGACTTGATCAAATGAGTATGTACTTTTGATTCTAGTTTTAGTTTTGATTTGTATCAGATTTTCAGTACTTTTCTCAACCCTAGTCTATTATAACTTGTACAAAAGCCTCAGTTCCACCTATAGAACAAAACATATAATGCTTCCTGCACAGTTGCTCATACAGAACAAAATTTACCCACTATAGGTTTGATTGACTGGCCTGTCAGGACAGGCAATAAACATACAATTGTAATGGTCAAACATAGAGGTCAAAAATTCAACTGCATTTTAAATTGGCTTTGCTCTGGGCTTGAAATCCCTAGTGATTTCTACTAGTTATGTCGTGGAATATAATGCACAATGACTATAATATGACGTGGGACCTATTTTGGTTGATTTGTCTACAAGTCAACGTCATTTGAAGCAGTGATGAATCAGAGAGAATATATAACATGCCTATAAATTCAAGACTTAAAGGGCTTATATTATGCAAAATAGACTCTCGTGAGCTCTAAGTCATGTTAGATGTCGTTACTGCGTCAAAAAACACCTGGAGTTGTTTTGTTACATTTAAGTGAGTAATCATGCATTATTACTCTGTCTACATTACTGTCTACATTTGCAAAGTTCAAAACACTCTGTTCCACCTTTTGATGTCATTTAGTGTTTTTTTTTAAAGTTACCAGCTAACTTTAACCTTTAGTTGAGTAGAGAGGAATGAAATTATCAAAACTATTCTAGTGAAGTTGTATGGAGTTTAAAAACACAGTGGAGCAATTTACTGTATTACCACATAATATCAGAAGGTGGAACAGAGCGTTTTCCATTATCAGTCTAAATATGCAGAACTTGACTGTTTGACTGAAACAAAGCATAATTCTGGGTATGTTTTTGATGGGGAGACAACATTATAATCATAAATCATAAGGCAGAAAACAAACAAAAGGCAGTGATCATTTTAGCTTCCCAGACTGTCACCACCTCTCAGAAGACCCACACCTTAATCCCTCTCTGCAGTCTACCTTCCAGTTTTTGGTGCAGGAATCGGATTTCTTCTTGGTGCTTTTGGCTCACAGCTCTCTTTCCCTTGGCACAGTCATTCTAACAAAACTTGCTAGCAACGTGCAGTGCAGCTAGCCTGGGGGCAGTATCCATCAAATGTGACTATAAGGAATCGTGTCCAGGAGATGCGCGCTTAAGGAGTGTTGCAACGTACATGTATGTCACTCCCAGCGCACGACAGCAAAAACGTCAACAATTTCATAACATTTACCTTGTACCGATACCAGCATGGGGGGGATTGGCACATCTGGTTCCAAACGCACCATATGGGAACATTACGCAACGTTTATAGGAAGAAATTCAAGCTATGGTAAATGAACGGTGATATTGGCAATGCTAATGAAACTAGCCAAGTTATGCGCTGTGCCATTTAAACTCATCAAAACATGGGCGTGTTGGGTCCTCCTCCTAGCATGTGCAAAAGAATATGTTCACGTCTTTGCGCGCGCATTAACAAGAGGTCACGGTGTTACGGTTCAACTTTCGCATGTGCTACTGGCTGGTGGATCTGGTACACGGGTGGAAGCAGGGCTGGTGTGCGCCCTGACGAGGATAGGTTACTGTAAACGTGCCTCCCAGCGCAGCCACTCCGTCTGCCTCTCTTTTCCCGTTAGGCCAGGGTTGTTCCAACATACTCCAAACACAGATGCACACGCGTTTTACATTGTAGCCCTATATATGACCCCAGCGGCGCACTCTCCCACCCCGATACCTGGCGATCACAAGCCTGAACACGCCTCACGCACGAAGGAAAACATCCAAAAGTGTGTGGAGCTCACCCCTCTCCTCTGGTTAATTCCAACAGAGTCCGACCCACAGCAGCAGCCGCCCGTGTGCCTTCCTTTCGCTGGAGAACCCGAATGGACGTGTCGGGAGGGAGTAAATCCACGTTTCCACTCACGCTAGCGCACCGGGATCCACGCGAAATACATGTGTGATTAGAAGGTACACGATTTTCAGAGCTTCCGTGACACAAGCACTTTCTGCCATTTCATACCGACGTCGTCTGGTCGAAACCTTCCGATGTTTCCTTCGGCTGCACAATGAGGAGCAGGCAGTGTTCAAGAGCGCCTGCGTGCTTCCGGGAGGAGCAGGGTAAAACGGAAGCTGCGATTGTGCAACGTTTTTTCAGATCAGTCCATGGGGATCAGCTTTAAATTTTAAACAAAAGTTATTATTTTGCATTTGTTGGAATTTTTCAATGTCATTCAAAATGTCAAACTTGTATAAGAAAGCTTACTGCTGGTGAATTGAATCAAACTGAAAAAAATAAAAAGGTTTATGCATGCATATTTTTATACTATACTTATACATTTATATTTTATGTTCTGGTATGTCACACAATATAACATGCACATTTATGGAAAATAAGTAATTGCAGCACCAATTCCATTGCTGTTGCACTGCTGACTGCAGTGTAAATTGGGCTAAAAACAATAGCCTGTATTAACAAAAACATTAATATCAAAAGACTTTTTTATTATTTTGTATTTTAACAAAGCTATATTTTTATTTCATTTTCAGATTCTGGATAGGCATTTTGACCAATTTAACCTCACTATCATCATCGAGAAGTGGCAAGTATACTATGGAGTTCAAAAGTAATGCCCATCCCCAAATAGTCAGTTATGTGGGAGGTAATGACCTCTAATATTAATTGTCTTCTCTGTCAGAAAACAAAAACAAAAGAGAAATGATTTTTTTCACAGTTCCACCAAATACCTCATTGTTGCCTGTTAAAAGGATTCTAAGCCATAAGATTAATATGGCAAGTTTGTGGAGCCAAAAATAATGATAGGGTTCAACATTTGTGGCTTTTTCAGTTATACTTATATAGGCTCCTACCCTCCATCTAAAACCACATCATCAAATTTCAACCCATGAATATACACTTATTCCTAATTTTAAAAAAAAAACTGACCTTTATGTAACCTTAGTTGCAGACTTAGCTACAACCAGCTTTAAATACAGTAGCTGAATGCACCACGCTCATTTTAATTTTTACCCTAGTAAACAATGGCAGTTTTCTACAGATCAACTACAGGCTACGTTCCCCCCTACTGTGTACTAATCTACTCTGGGGTGTAGATGAAAGTGGGACAATGACTGAGTCACTTGCCGTTCGAAACATCAGATTAGTACAATACCTACCGCCTACAATAGCTTACTCCTTTGCTTTGCTTCCTCTGCCGTTAGCCAGGCCTGCAAATCCAATTAAGTTCTTATGTTGGCCAGGCTAAAAATAGTTGAAAATGACGGAAAACAGAGAAGCGACACGTCATTACTGGTGAGCGAGGGGTAAATTATGCTATAGAGCTAAAAGGTGTTTATTGAAGGGATGATTGTTGTGTCATGAGAGCGCATGATGGACCTGTTGCCATGACGGACACAAGCAGAGGTGCCATGGCGGCAACCAGAGTAAGGATTAGGTTCCAAACAGTGGATGTCTGAAGGAACTTAAAGGCATTCTCCTGGAATACCGGATGATATAAGGTAGGTCATAAAGCGTTACTATGCATTCTTCTGGATGGAATATTAGTAATAGGACCACCTTTTGAAGATAGTGGAGCACTAGGGCTTCTCGTTACATGGCACCATATTGGGAGTTTCTTGCTTTTTGATCTACCTCTCTGAAAGACTGTCCATATAGATAAGAATTTTATTCAAGAGTTTGAATTGTATGAGAAATCTAGCACAGTATTTGTGCATTCATGATAATGTGAAATTTTTGGACACAAATGAACTCCATACCATTTGCATATCATTATAGAATTTAAATATGCAACATACTGCTTATACATTCTCATGAGTTGTGCAACGACAATATGTGAGATCACTTCTTTTAGTTATTGTTAATTATGTTAACATTGGGTAACATATATTTGGTTGCAGAACTGCTTCCATAGGCTAATGCTAATAGTTGTAGCCCCTGGTGTGCAGTATCAAATAGATTGGGATACTTAACCTGATTAAGAGAGCACAGTCTCTTGGCACAATGTGATGTCTGATGTCTTAACTTGTAATAATGTTCTACCAAGAATTTCCAAGTAGATATACTCAGTTAACGCTGTTTTGCCATATGTCTAGATTGATTGATTGATCTAGCCTTAATCCAGAATGGCATATAGGCCTGTTTGGACTAGTACTGCCACATAAAGACGACTCCTTGCATCTTCTGGGTTCAACATGAATGCTACAATGCAAGAAAATCTAGTTGTTATTAAGATAGCTAGAACTATGTGTCTCAAAGTATCTGCCAATTGTTCAGTGGTTTATAATCTGCTACTATTAATTGAGAACATAGTATTTAACTGGATTCAACTGACTGTGCTAGCATGTCTTAGCTGAGGGTTCATTGTTCCAAAGTTTCTCAAGGTCAGATAGATCCTATTTGAAATGTAAACAATCATGTAGTTTAATAAATCAACTTTTTCAAATAATGTTATAATATCATATCATAAGCGGAAGTCTTGTAGCTGCGCCCACTTAGGTCCTTTGCTCTAAATCCATAAGCCTGTCTCACTGAAACTCTCACCCTTGACCTTTGGTGTGGGTTACTGTATTGTTTCCTTGAATGCAGCCTTAGAATGGTAATACTGCAGTAAAATCAGCAAACAGTTGTTATTCATATGCAAGTTTTCAGATGGAAGGTCCAGAATCTTCTTGTCGGATTGGAGATGCTATTGTTTTGTCTATGCTATTGTTTTGTTGTATGTTTTATTCCACATATATGGTATAAAACCTCCATAACGACCAGCTGGTGACGCTACTAGGACAAGTATTTTAACAGTGAAAACATTGTTAAAGGAGACCTATCATGCTTTTTGAGCGGTACTTAGTAATACACAATAATATACACAGAGCATTATTTTTTCATTTTGTTGTTTTGATTGGCCTAATAATAGAAACAGGTCAACTACTAACAGGTCCAGCAATCAACACTACAGAACTGAGAAGCCTCATCGTTTCATTGTAGCAAGCAGTAGATTTTCTACGTTTTTACTGTTGAAAAGGGCTAAATCAGGGCTAAATCAGTTTTGAACCCAACATCTGTGACCTGGAGCACTAGGACTAATCACTAGGTAGCACTCGAGCCTTGAATGCAGGACGTTACAAGGTTAGTGAAAACATGCATGAATCAAAATACAACTTTGAGTGGGCTAATGATGATAGAACACAATTACAACATGGTTAAAAGCTTAGAAAAGCAATTTTAGATTAATTAAAGAGGTCTGTTTTATTTGAATAAATGCAAGATGGATTTCAAATCAAGCAGCAGAACATTTCAATCTAAGTAACTTTTGCATGAGAAAAGCCCTCCACCAGAGAAAGTTGCATATTGAACTGTTAAGTTTCTCTATTCATGATCCATCAACAGTTGCTCCAGAAGAATTTTTTGCTTGACTTGTCCGTTCAACAGTACAATATATTCCATTCTTGTTTGTAGCATGGGTACTTTTGTGACCCTGGCAGAGGTGCTGGAAGCCCGGGGTTCACCGCTGGAGGAGGATGAGGTCTGGTGCCTCCTCCTGGCCACCGTAGAGGCCTTACTGGACATCTCCAAAAAGGGTACGCACACTGCCCCTCATTAGGTCATAGCAGATTGACTTTGGTGAAAGAGTCATCCTTCCTAGGCCTCTCAGCTGACTTTGCTTAAACGCTTCCTAATGACTAAATCCTTTGTTTCTGTTGAACTGTGGCCCTCAGGTTCAGGGAACATGTGCAGCGTGCTAAGTCCGGGCTCAGTGCTGCTCTCAGCCAATGGGAACGTGGCCTTTAAGAGCTGTGTGCGCTATGAAGATGCCGCAGCCTCTTTCACTGCTCCTGAGGCTCAGCAGGGTCACGCCGCCTCCAGCCGGATCGCCACAGAAAAGGTCTGAGCTGGATTTAATGTGTCAGCCAAATAGAGAATTTTAACTAAGAAGACATTGGACTTTTGAGTGCTTCTGTTTCATGTTCTAAGACCCCACAAATACATAGACATGAACTATGAACAAGGTCAAAACAACTGTATTTTGACAGAGTAAAGGTCTGGTAAGGTGGTTCCTAAAATGGGGTCATGAGGCACTGATCTGAGAGTCACAAGATAACTTGTAGAATATAATTTCAAAATTATGTCACTGCTTTTAATCAAGTATTTCATAACAGTATTTGAAAGTGAAATTACTACAAAAGATTAATTTCATTTTCATTCATTTTGCTGTGGTGTTCCCTGGCCGGTTGCATAATTATATTGGAGGTTCTGGCTCGAAAAGTTTAGGAATGGGAAGCCTCTTTAACTATTTGACTTTTTGAGCTTTCATTAATATTCTGTACATCTGGATTGATTGATATTTTAGGATAAAGATGACTCATTTGACATCATGTTAATCCATTGTTTTGTGATTTAGTGTTGCTGTTTTAATGCTTATTGATACTACATAAACTGTTTTTTGCCAAAATATTGGATATTGCATGACCTGAAATCTGAAAGTTTTATTTATATTAAAATATAAGTATTATTCAAATACCTCGAGAACTTTGTATATTCATTACCGTATTAGCACCATTATACGTCGGTGATTATGGTAATGTGATATCAGGGATGATTTCATTTATCAGTAAAATTTCACCAAATGTCCGGGTGATATTATTTCCTATATATTTTTAGAATAGAATAGCAATGAAGCTAAAGAGTTGGCACCAAATATAAGAGAAAATAGATTCTATTATAAATTTCTGTTTCTGTTCTTTTATAAATATCTGCCACAACAGCAGGACAAATCTTAATTATCATATCAGACCATCTCTATATGGTATCATTGTAACCTAACGCAAAAACGTGCTCAAACTGCCTTTTTCAGATGGTTGTGTACTCTTTGGGGATGACTCTTTACTGGTGCGTGGATTACCAACTACCTCAAAATCAGGTACTATATCAACCTTGTGAGATAATGTCAAACTGTGCCTGGCCCCTCTAACCCTCTGTGTGTCAGCCGGTGCAGTTGAGTGCGGAGCTGGAGGGCCTGCTGCTCAGTATGTGTGAGGAGGTGTGTG